ATTTCATCGAATTTAAGATTTAGAATGTTTTCGATAAGGATTTTGATCCCATTATCATAAACTCCAAGTGGAATGGGGAATTTAAATATGGCAGTTGAGCGAAGTGCGTAAAGAATACGGGTAATATTGAAAAAAATTTTCACCAGGAAAAAGTATTTAAAAAATTTTTTATTTTACATTGTTTTACAACAATGTCTCTTTAAATTAAAAAAAATATTTTTTCTTTAAAATTAATTAACACAAAAGATTGTATTTATAATTTATTATCACTTTTAATTAGGCTTTACTTAAAACCACAATTTCAAATCCATCAAATTGTTTAACACACATGTTTTCTTTCTCAAATGTTGCCTCAGGCCAATATTTATAATAATTTGCTCTAGACGTTATTGAAATGTTTGCCCCAGTATCAAACAACATTTCTATATTTTGTCTATCAAATTTTATATTTACACGAGGACACGAAACTGATTAATTGCTCTTTCAATCATTAAAATTTTATTCATTTTCCTTAACTGAATTATATTTATTATATTTGAATTACTATTAATATAATTAATATTCATGCCTAAATTCAACTCTGAATTTAATGGCCTCTGAATATCCATATTTTTTTTATTAAATATATTGGAATTTTTTTTACAACACTATGTATATTACAAATTTTAGTATTAATATATGATTTTCCAATTTTTATATGATTCTCTTTCAAATCATATAGTCATTGCAATTCACTCACGTATTGAACACAATTCATGGCCATTTGACCCATTTTCTCACATTTAAAACACATTCGGTCATAATCTTTATTGTTCATATCTTTTTCGAATCTTTTATATTACGTATCACTGGATTTATCAATACCGGTGGTTTCTTTGGAAAACCAGCTTTAAAATTGGCTTCTTTCACCATACAATTTTTATTTATATGACCTGTAAAACCACATCTATCACAAATTATATCATTTTTATCATTTACTTTTACATTCACATTTTCATTGATTTTTCGCTCATGGGAAAAACAATTTTTCTCACTATGACCCCTCCGGCCACAAATATCACGATTTTCACTAAAATTATTATTTTTATTTCTAATTGTATCTATATCTTTAGAAATATTCTTCAAATTTTCTTTAATTTCTTTTATATCATTTGAAATTACGCATTCATTTTCATTTCCTTTAACATTGTTAGTAACATCATGATCTTTTACAACCTTCACAGGTTAATTAATCATAATTTCAGAAATTTTCTCTGTAATTTCACTCATAAATGAATCTAAACTAACATTTATATCTTTTGACGTCATACTTTTACCAACAATAGGCACTTCCCTAGTATTTGACTTTTCATTATCACTGGAATTACTTATTTTTTGGATATTAAAATTTCTAAGTTCAATTAGAACCAAATTTAAACTATTTTTTAGATCTTCAGAAAAGTCTAAAAATTTATCAGATGTCATTAGATTCACATCCACAACATTAGAATCATCTAACTTACTCACTTTATTTGTAAAATATTTATTCTTAATTAACTGTATAATAAAAATCAATGAAATATATAACATGTCAAAGCTGTAACCACACAATTGGTCACATCCAATTTATCAAAACTCGAATTAAATATTTTAACAAAATTATTCTTATAAATTTGCATTTTATTAAAGTTAGGATTCCTATGATTACTAATAAAAAAATAAACCATGTTCTCATTTAATTATTGATAATAAAAATTTTATTATTAACAATAGACTATTGCGTTATGTGCAAAAATATATTTAAACAAAGAAAAAAATATTTTTTACCTTTTTTATCCGAATTCAAATGATCTTTCAAATTTCTTCTTCGAATAAAAAAAATCTTCTTTAGGAACTGCGTTCTATAAATTTGTTTTTCTCAATCCAAATATTTTTCCCAGTTAAAATTTCTATCCTGGTATAACGAGTACCAATTTTATAACTATAGACGATAAATTTAACTCAAAGAATCAATTTCTTTATTTTTCATATCAAATCCAATCTTATAATAATAAAATAATCCATAATATATTCTTCATTTTACAATCAATAAAACATCTAACTCATTTCATAAAATCTCCGATTCATTTTATAAAAAATCACACATAAATAAAATATTATTTTTCCAATAAAAACATATTATCCAAAAAAATAATAATCTGATTGACATTTCTTGAAAATATATAAACATTTTTTATTTTTCTCTTTAATTCAACATTTGCAACACCAATTATGTAGTATTCAATATGTACATTAATAATCTGCAAACCGTGTATCCGTATTACTAACCGTAACCGAGTTATAACGGTTTTAAAAACGTGAAGTTAGCGAAATTTTTCTTAAAAATTGAGGATCAATTACCGAAAATTATGTCAAAGTATAGAGCGTTAATTGATCCTCCGGAATCTTTAAACCGCACACCAGCGGAATAAACAGTTCGAGAGTTATGGGCAAAAAAAAAAAGTGTTGGCACTTTGCCAAAACCGAAAATAAATAAGATCATGATCTGAAACTTGGCAATTATGTAGTATTCACTTTTTTATTTTGCCCATAACTCACGAACGGTTTATTCCGCTGGTATGAGGTTTAAAGATTCTGGAAGATCAATTAATGCTCTACACCCTGGCATAATTTTCGGTAATTGATCCTCAATTTTTAAAAAAAATTCCGCTAACTTCACGTTTTTAAAACCGTTATATCTCGGTTACGGTTAGTGACACGGATACGCTGTTTGCAGATTTTTAATGTACATATTAAATACTACATAATTGCCAAGTTTCAGATTATGATCTTATTTATTTTCGGTAAGAGCCAACACTTTCTTATTTTGCCCATAACTCATGAACGGTTCATTCCGCTGCTTTCCGGATAGAAATCAATTAGGATCAATTAACGGGCTACACAATGGTATAGGTTTCGGTAATTAATCCTCAAGTCGTTCCGCCAGTCAAAATTTACACTTTCTTTATTTTTATGATATCTCTCTTTCCTTTAATTTTTTTGACATTCCGTTTGAAGAATTCGGAGGATCAAACACTAAATATTGGCTTTAACTAAAAAATGATTGCTCGAATTTTAAATTTTGGTAAAATGCCAAAACCTTTCTATTTTGCCTATAACTCACGAACGGTTTATTCCGCTGGTATGCAGTTTAAAGATTCTGGAGGATCAATTAGCGCTCTACACTTTGGCATAAATTTCGGTAATTGATCCTCACTTTTAAAAAAAATTCCGCTAACTTCACGTTTTTAAAACCGCTACAACTCGGTTATGGTTAGTGATACGGATATGCGGTTTGCAGATTATTAATGTACACATTGAATACTACATTATTGCCAAGTTTCAGGTCATGATCTTTTTTATTTTCGGTTTTGACAAAGTTTTGCCCATAACTCATGAACGGTTCATTCCGCTTCTTTCCGGATATATCAATTAGGATCAATTAACGGGCTACACAATGGTATAGGTTTCGGTAATTGATCCTCAAATCGTTCCGCCAGCTTCAAAATTTCACACTTTACTTATTTTGCTTATAACTCGTTAACCATTGATTCCGCTGATGTTTGGTTTGAAGATCAATTAGGATCAATTAAGACTTTAAATATTGGCATAGGTTACATCGTTCCGCCAACTTCACGGACCTGTTTCGGTAATTGATCCTCAAATCGTTCCGCCAGCTTCAAAATTTCACACTTTCCTTATTTATAACTCATTAACCATTGATTCCGCTGATGTTTGGTTTGTAGATCAATAAAGACTCTAAATATTGGCATAGTTTGTTAATTGATCCTCACATCGTTCGGCCAACTTCACGGACCTGGCGATCTACATCCAAAAAGATTAATTTAATTCTAACCAAATTAATTAATAATACAAATGCCAATATTTCTAGAAATTGGTTGATAATTATTGTCGATTTTATAATTGATACAGTTCAGCCAATGTCCTTGGTTGATAATCCATCATTTACCATGATGATTAAAAATCTATCCACTGGTACAACAATTATATCGCTAGACACTAATGAATAAAATAGCAGATAACTTTAGAGTGATGAAAGATGCTCTAATAGTAGTTTATCAGAAATATCATATATATGTACCATGGCAGATAGTTGAACACATAACACAAGGTAAAAACTTATAAAATGCAACAAATTTCTATAAATATTTATTTTTATTACATAAATTTTTTTATAATAAAAACTAACTATATTTTATTATTTATAAATGTTGATTTTTATATATTTACTATACAATAACATTATAAGCAAAAAATGAAACAAATTTGTTCAAATTTTTTTTATAAAAAGTAGGTTAAAAAGTAGCTAAAGCTATTAAAAAATAGTAGCTAATAGCGCGCTACTATTTTTGACAAATAGCGATAGCGGTAGCACGCTAATTTTTTTGATAAATAGCCGTAGCGTGCTACTTTTAAAAGTAGCGATTAACTCTGGTGTGTAAAATGTATTGTCACGAAATGTGTATTTGAAATAGAATTGGTAATTGCGCACACGTAAAGATAAAACATGCAAACATTTTAAACACCATAACAGAGTAAGTTAAAAAATATATTGTTTTTAAATTACATATATCGTCGCCTGAGAATTAGGATATTTATCCACTTTTTGTCAAAAGTGACTTGTTTATATATATCTCAATTTTTTATAATTATGCTATTCTTATTTATATAAAAATATCCGAAATATTTATAAAATAAGTTAGATTATAGCCAATCTTACAAAAAGTGAGGGAATAATCTAATTTTCAGGTGACGATATATTTTAAGATAAGCAACTTATCATTCGTTTGATAATAATATTGATGCTTGTTATCAAGTGTTGATTACAGCTATCAAATCTTTTGAAGAAAGAAAAATAAATTTGAAGCATAAATATATTTTAAAAAAATTTAAGACTTTTATTTCAATCATATTTTGTGAGCATAAAAATGGGCAAACAATATAATTTAAACAAATTTTATAAAGCAAACTATTGTAATGAATGGTGTATTAAAACAGATTAAGCAACCATATTATAAACATGTAATGTTAGTATAATTTGATGAGTATCCAATAATGACCATATATATTTAAGACTTAAATAAAATATAATAATATTCATAATTTTATCAAAAAAGATAAGAAGAAAATAAATACGTTCACCGGAATATAAAAGAAAGAAGACAAAAAGATCACAGTGTGGGTTCAATTAAATATAATAATTGGCTAATAAAAAAATCGTAAGATCATGTTGGCATTAATTGTGAATGTACTATAATATAATAAAAGTGATAATATGTAATAGTTAAATCATATTTTTAAAGTAAAGCATCAATCAAATTCGTAATTGGTATAAGAATATTTGCTTAATCATTATAAAAAAATTTATACCAAAAAAGAATAAAAATTAAAATAATTTTGTATTCTCTTTTTACGCATGATATTTATTATTTCCTAGAAATTAATAGATTTAAGTAAAAGTCAGCCCCGCTTCTTTGTAACTCGTGAATATTTTTGATATGGCGTAAATAAATGCGGCTGTTCTGACATCCAATCCCAATTTATGTTCATCCATAATTTGCATGATATTCTAAAATTTTGTTGTTTTTATTGGAGAATGATAAAATTAAATATAAATTTCATTAGAAGAATTTAAATTTTATTTTAAGAAATTTTATAATATAGTAGTAAAAAACGGTTTCAATTATCACACAGTTATATAAAATAAAAAATATATAATTAGTAAACGATTACGAAAAAAAAATCATAATAACATCAGGACAATATTGAAGCATAGATCATAAAATAATGTAAAATACAAAATAAATAAATAAAAGCGAAAGCAGCAAAAATTATTCAAAACCTCCTTCATCTAATCATCAGGAGAGATCGAATTAATAAAACAAAACATAATTAGCCTTAAGAATGGCTATTGCGATCCTCTGCCTTAAGTAAAAACCTTCGCGAGGCTCCCCAGAATTTTTTCTGATTAGGCGGCCAACGTTTTTAAAAAGTTTTTAGCCAAATCACCATATGTAGTTAAGGTGGAGCAAATGATGGGTATGAATATGTAATTTGAGGAATCAGCGCTGTATTTGCTGATCTTAAAATTTTGAACTCTGTTCAGAGCGTCCTTGTTAAAATTAGAGGAGAAGTTATGTCCAGACAAGAGAAATTCCATATAAAAAACTTTCCTTGAGACCATGGGATAAGTGTGACGCCATTAGGACGCCTACTATCGGAAAATAAGCCAGAAGGCTCCATTGATGTAGGAAAACCAGCTGACCTAAGTGCAAGAGATATAATTTGATTGCATTTCAAGTGTCGAGTTTGCCGACCGTGATTACGATTGCAATGTAAAGGATGCAGCGCCATATTGTTATCATCAGTATGACATTTGCTGCATATTATTTTAATAAAAATATTTCAGACTAGTATTGCCCAGATTAAATTAGTGGCGGCTAAGAGAGCAGACGAATGCTCAGTAACTTTAAATAATTTGAGCGAACCTACAAATATTTACTATATGATCAAAACGTTTGTTTGTTAACAAATTCTTTTTCAAAAAGGTCTAACCGTGCATTGACAGTTACTCGATTTAACAACCGATCATCGGAACTTTAATTCCAACGCGATGGCCATCGTGTTAATTTATAAAAAGATTTTAGATATGTTTAAGTAATACTTTTATTTAATTATAAATTACGTTATCATTTTATTATAAAGCCACATTTTCACCTAATATATAACTATGCTTATTTATACTCTATCACAATTTTACCAGGCCCCCACATTTAATTTAAATCGATTGAAATCTAATTGGTTAATATGAAATTAACTTAAACATAAATAAAATGTACAAATAAATAAATTAAAATGTACAAATAAATAAATTAAAAATTTATAGTAAAAGACAAATTATATAAAAATGTTTACTAAATTTAACAAAAATAATAAATTGTGTTAATGTTAAATAAATCATATGGCCATCGCAACATTCCCCTCTCTCAAACTGAATGAAAGTTTTTTTGAAATGTTCATGGCGTCTATCTTTGCAATTGCTTGAAATGTTCAGATGTACATCGTGTTGTTAGTTTTTTGATTGCTTCCGTGATCTCTGGTGGATTTATCGTTTACTCGTCGTTATTTATTTATCATTGTCATTTTATTAGTTTTCATTATCATAAAATAATAATATATGTAACCATAGAATAATAAGGAATTCCAGAATTAATAAAATTTGAATGATGTATTGATAAATTAATTAATGATTATAATATTTGCGTTTCATATATTTCTTTCATAATCTTAAATCTTTTATTTCAATTATCATCATATAAATATTTATAAAAATTAAATTGTTTAAAATCATGAGTTTCTCCCTCCTTAAAATCTCAATAAAATTTTAAAATTTGACTCCTTTATTTCTTAATTTATAAATATTCTATAATCCTTATTGTCATTTACAATTTCTTTATATAAAACATAAATTTTTATATATGCTTTTGTCTTTACGAAAATTTTATATATACATATATATATGCTTTTAATCTGTAGATGATATAAAAAATTTTTTCACAACTCATAAATTAAAAATACACTTATTTACTAAAAATCTACCAGACAATTCATATATTTTAATAAATGCCATGACTAATGATAATAGAAAATGACATACAATTAATTAATAGATAAAATAAAAAAATTTTCAAATTATAAATCATTAAAGGATGAAAAAGACAAAAGAAATACCCGTATCAATTCAATCTAGACCTTATTAACATAAAAATGATAGTTATAAAAAACATTATTACAGTCATCATGATCATTATTATAAAAATCAAGAAAATTTTTATAATAAAACTCAAGAATTTTAAAATAATAAGAATTATTACAATAAATATTATAAATTTATAGACAGGGTAATCATGATATTATTGAATTTAAGCAATTTAGTAATGTAAAGATAATTAACAAAAACAATGAAATATTGTCTACTACCATTATAGGAGATGTAAAAAAATTAAAAATAGTATAAATAATAAAATTATATTAAGTAAAATTGAAGCTTATAAAATAAGTGAAATTATAAATATTGGCACTATAAGATACATGAATATTAAATAATTAAAGAAAATAATGATAATAAAAGAAGCATACCTAAAATAACATATAACATATGATGAAATTATAGAAGATTCATTCATAATCAAAATTTTATATCATGAAGAGGAGTATATAGTGATAATAAAATTAATGAGACTAATCAAATCTAAAATTCATATAACAAAATTTCGAAAATAATAAAATCCAAATCCTACTCTAAGGATAAAATTAATAAACGAAAAATTATTAGAAAAGAATTAAAACATAAAATAAAAAACATGAGCACAATAAAATTTAAAAATATATTTTATAAAATAAATCTTAAAGAACTAAAACAAATATATTTAAAACGGACATAAAGCATATATAAATTTTCTTCGTAAAGGCAAAAGGAGTATATATTATATATAGCAATTTATTTTTAAAAATGTTTTAAATAATGAAATTGTAAATGAGATTTAAGATAATTTAAAAAATTCCTAGAGATCTTAAGGAGGGATAACCTTATGAATCAGCATTATAAACAATTTAATTCTAAATGATCATAATTGAAAGGTAATTGAAATAAAATAATTAAGATTATGAAAGAAATGTATAAAACACAAATATAATCATCACTTGATTTATCATTACATCATTCAATATTCTTATTAACAAACATTGGATATTTTAAATTTATTTTTATTTCAATTATTCTTATCAAATCTTATTAATTCTGAAATCCTTATTATTCCATACACATGAAAATGAAAACTAATTAAATGACAATGATAAATAACGAGGAGTAAACGATATATCCTTCAAGGATTACGGAAACAATCAACACTATATATACGATGTACAACTGAACATTTCAAACAACTGTGAAGAAAATAGACGCGAGGAACATTAAAAAAAAAAAATTTCTTTCAGCTTGAGAGGGGAATGTTGCGACAGCCATATTGATTTATTTAACATATACAACTTATGATTTTTGTTAAATTTAGTAGACATTTTTATACATTTTGTCTTTTACTACATATATATTTTTAATTTATTTATTTGTACATTTACTTTATCAATCAGCTATATTTGTTTAACTAATTATCATATTAACCAATTAAACCGATTTAGCTTAAAACACATTTGTGAGGTGACCTCTGGTATAATTGTGATACAGTAGTTTTATAATAAAATGATAACATAATTTATGATCTTATAACAAGTTATGTTCATTTATTAATAAAGAAAAGATATATAATTAAATAAAAATATTCCTTTAAACATATCTAAAATCTTTTTTAAAAATAGCCTTAGTTGAATCAAAAATCAAGGTCGACATTAACAACACTCTTTGACAAATAAATTATTAAGCCTCCTTTTAAAAAAGGCTCGTATACCTAATATTCTAAAACCTTGCAATCTTTCAAGAGATAACGGCCTAAGACCTGATCATCATACTCTGGACCATGGACAAATCCATTATTTGGGATCATACATGTGTCTCATCCTTCCCATCAATATAAATAGCAACCTGCTTACTCTAACAGAGTTAAAAAAATGAAAAAATACAAAAGCTTCATTAATTTCATATTTTTGACAATGCGACTACTACCAAAGGACATTTTCACCTTTAGATTTTTTTTTTTAATATAGCTCACAAAATTAAATTACAAACATTAACCTAGGGAATTCTTATTCCTCATGCAGAATATATAAATAAACATTTTTAAATTTAACTATTGTTCCTTTTTAGAAACCCAATTATGTTTTTCTTAAAATTATTTTGGTTCAAAAATATTTTTATTCTTTTTTTAAATATTTTATATATTAAATTTATAATTTTTTGTATATTTTTTTAAAATTTTAAACAAGTTGGTTTATCATGATAATTTATTAGTATTATAAATGAATAATTGATTTCATATATTTGATCAGCTGTTAAATCGCGTTAACTATGAGTGCAGCCTAAATAATAAGAACGTGACGCTACTTTAAATTAAATGCGTTAGCAAAGTTGGGGCTCGGACCAAAGGGAAAAAATTTGTAATTACCAAAAGCCAAGAAAGAAAGGAAAAGTTAAAATAAATAATGTTATACCAAATTATTGAGGAATTTTAAAATAAATTCAAATAGACAAATATAATTTCGATTACTTTAGCAGATCTTTCCATAGTGTATTCCAGGCCAGAGTGAACAATATCTTTTTCAGAAGCACCCTTTGTAAATTAAAACAAAATAATGCAGTTTCTTTTCTAAAATATTAAAAAATGTGGTGTCAATATAGAAATGCTCAATATAGCTTATTAAAACCTTCATGGAATGGACAGACCTAAATGGAGTTACTGTTTTAACTTTCGACTATATAAAATCATGTGTACACCCTTTCGTTTTATAATATAAATTTGAACATTTTACAGTAACCTTATATAGAGTGGTTTTATATTTTTTAGTATATATATATATATTTATTAATAAGAGATTTTTATATACCGCTATACGTTTCTTGAATGCTTCGGCAGGATCAATAGTAATACTTCCTTTGCCAAACTTTTTTTCCAACGATTCTTGAACGCTCTCTGAATAATTAGTGGAAAATAAAAAATTATTATGCCTGGCATTGAAAAAAAATGTTCACAGAAGTTTCAACAGTTAAAATTTTATATATAGATTTAAGTAACAGACCTATAATTGGTAGATACCAAACAAATTATTAAACTTTCTAAATATTAATTGAATAACTTTTCGATGCAATTTAGCATTATATCACTAAATAAATATAATTTGCTTACATAATATATTAAACAATTTTAATAATTTTTAGTAAAATTTTTTAGTTTTTTTAGGTCATTTCAATTTTATAAAATTAAAAAATTTATCTCTAGTGCTTCACTGCTTAGTGATTAAGCTTTTTAAAAATGTTTGTTACTTTCTCGTTCTCTTCTGAAAAATAAAAACTTTATTACTAAAAAAAATAACTAACCATATAACCATAAATTCGTAAAGAAGAAAAATTTTTTTTATAGATATTATATATTAAAATTGTTTTAAAAAAAAAATAGATGAATCTAAAAAAAATATATTGTTAAGTTATTGTGTAGGTTTTATTTGAATTAATTTTTTGCATAAGTATCGGTAATATTTGTAAAAAAAAAATTTGTATCGGCACATTGTTGTTTGGTTTTATACAATATTAATTTGGTTATAGACTTAGACACCATTAATATTTTGTATATTTATTACTTTTAATATTGATTAAACAAATTTTTAAATTGATAAAGCGCTTCCCTTAATTTTCTAATTATATAAAATAATCTCAGAAATTTCTTCTATTTATAAAAGTGTATATAAATCATAATAATCTACCTACCTACTTATATTTCTAATTCCATAAAATAATCTCAGAAATTTCTTCTATTTATAAAAGTGCGTAAAAATAAATCTTAAAAATCTACGAATAAAAATTACTATAGAAACATTCTTATTATATTCAAATTTTCATATAAAAAATTTGTTATATATTGTACAATTTTTTTTAATAAACGGGATGCTTCCTAGAGATGTGAATTCATATACTATAATAAATAATATTTCAAAAAATTAGGCATTTTCATAGATTAGAAAAAGTCTATAGGGTCAAAATAAAAATAATTGATTTTATCGCTCAACCTTAGATTAATTTTTTTAATTATATCTTTCGAAAATAAAATAATTGTCAAACTTAAAAGTAAATTGTTCGATTCCTTCTCGTATTTGAAATGTAGGCGACCAAAACTAACGTGATTAAGATTTTTGAGCCACTCAAAGTAAGAAACCGTTACGCCGCCAGCATTTATGAACAAGTCTGGAAGTATTAAAACTTTGTTGTGAAGCAGAAGTTTGTGGGCTTCGGGAGTTATCGGACCATTAGCACCTTCAGCTATAATCTTTATTATAATTTTTTTTAAATATTACGTCGAATCTATTAAATACCAAGGTAAACCATAAATAAATTTATATTCCTTTATTAATCCAGAACCCAGTACAGCCGATCATGATTTAATTTTTCACCTATAAGTCCAAAGCTAATTAAATAAATTCCATGTAATCTTTAAATATCCCTATTTTCTTTCCTCTTTCTTTTGCACAATGGGATAAAAAAATTAACATTATAGGCTGAAAACAATTCCTTCCTTTTTTGATTAGATTCTCATTTTTTATGTTTTTAATTATCGTATTTAAGGCATTCACTACGTAAGTGTCCCTTTATTTTACTCACTTATCAACCTTTTGATATCATCGCCCTTTATTATAAAAGAAAACAATGATACATTTTTATTTTCATTATTTACTTTAGCCTTGACTTGGTGAGCATTAAATTTGTTGATAACTTTTTCGCCTGCCGCTGGCACTAATATATCGCATTGATCGAATATCAGGTTCCTATCTTTGATGAGATCCGTACCAGGGAACCCGAATATGGTTCCATTAGACTGAACGTGATTTAAATAATTTATATTAGTGATCATGATTATATATATTCATTGTATATAAATAACGCAATATATTTTTTTATTAGTAATATCACTAGAGAGAAACGAAAGAGTTATAATCATACACAGAGACCTGCAGGTCCGGCCCTAAGCTTAAAAAACCCGGGATGGGCCGGGCCTGAAAATTTTTTTTAAAAAATACCCGGGCAGGGCCCTATTTTTTTTAAAATTTATACAAAATGAATTATTATATTCGTCAATTAGATATGGTTATAATGATTATATATAGTTATGATTAATATAATGTTTGGTGAAAGTTAACACTAGCTAACACTCATAGTATCTATTACAAAATAAAATTATAGTTTTCCTGCCATGAAATAAATACGCAAAGGATTAAATACATTATTATATAATATATAATATATGTTATATTTTTTATTAATTAAAATATCATTTTTATTTTTTTTATAAATACATAGTATATTCTCAAAATATTATTTACACAAATTTTTTATAGTATCAATTTGTAATATACATATTTGTTTAAAATAAAAATAAATAAAATGTGTTAGTGTTGTTAAACGGCTCGTTTTGAGCCGATTTTTAAAAACGGCTAACTCAGTTTTTTATCCAGAAAAATATTATGCAAGCCTGAAAATTTTGCTCATAGAAGGAGCAAAGGTCTACACATATAGTATCGAAATTTCGAAGTTTAGTCAATATTTTTCTGGCGAAAATATTGAGTTAGCCTTTTTAAAAATCGGCTCAAAACAAGCCGTTTAACAACATTAGCTAATATACTTGCTTATTAAATGATAATACTAGCTGAAAAATATGACAAAATACGAAATAATCAATATTTTGTATATACCAGGTCGAATATAATTTTTAAAAATTCTGAACCAGGCCTAAAAAAAAAAAATTTTTGAAAAAAAATCTGGGCCGGGTCGAAAATTTTTTAATCTGGGCCGGGCCGTACAAATAGTACCTCTGCAGGTCTCTGATCACACATAAGTGTAATCTGAACAGACTAGTATATTTTTTATTTCAATAAAACTTTTTTTAGCACATATTCAGTTTTTTTAATTGATTTAATTGAACTATTTTAAATAATCAATAATTCCTTTTTTTCTTTTTATATATAGTGATATATGTGAAAAATAGCCCGACCCCAAAAAAATTTCGAATTTTATACAAATTTTAAATTCTTATAAATATAAAGTAAAAATCATCAAAAAAAGAGATATCCTTAAAATTATAACAATAAGCATCATTCAACATAAGAGTCATTTATAATCTTCAGTATATAATATTGGGTATCATACTAAAAAAATATTTCAAAAATCTGACTTGCCCCAGGCAGCCATTCAAAAAAAATCAAGACTTACAATCTTGTAATCCTCGAGATCTTTGGGATCAATAGAGTCTCCATTTTTAGACTTGATGCCGCCATCTTTTTCCTGAATAGCCAAGCATTTTGCTCCAGCCCTGTGTAGATATCTCATAGAGTGCATTCCTACGTTTCCAAAACCTTGAACTATGAAAGTTTTATCTTTTAATCCTGGCTCTTTGATGCCTATTTGTTGCATGAGGCCGGATTGATTGACGAAGTTTTCAAGGCCGTGATATAGACCCTATAATAATATGGATGATATAGAATATAAATAATAAGTCTCCAAAATATGTTATATCTACTTATAGAAAATTATTATATCTGAAACTTTAAAACAGAGATCCCACCCGTAATGAATATCGGTTTGGTTCAGGTTTAGATTCAGATAATAATAACGGTACATAGTTCAGGTTCGGTTCGTAAAAAATAATAATACCGGTTTAACCTTTAAAAACTGATTTAATCCTTTTCGCATAAAAGCGAATCAGAAATATTTAAAAAATAAATATTTTTTAAATTTTATCATTCTTTGAAAATATTGAACCGTATACAATTAAAATAATTTTAAGGTTCTCTTCTGTCAAATTATATTCATATGGGATAATAAATTTAGGGCTGAGGACACTATATGAAAACTAATAACGATATAGAAAAATATCTAAAAATAATAATTGATACTTTTTAGTAAAAATGATTATTAATCATCTTTAAAAGAGTTAAGGTATCAAAAGGTTCAAACTGGTTCACAAACCCTTTTAGAGGTTCGGTTCATGTTTGGGTGACAAATTTTATGATTAAAATCACGTAAATAATTTTATACAAAGAAAAAGACCTGGGATAAGAAATTAAAGAGTGAGTTGTGGATTTAGAGCGTCAAATTTTTGGTAGTGTGTTTAAAACTTTAGGGGAAAACACCCAATTTCTTTATAACCCTGAATTTAAAGTTAGCACGAATTGGCGGCGAAGTATACAAAAATTAAAGTAAAATTATTATATTTATATCATATTTTATATACTTCGCCGCGAATTCGCGCAAACTGTGAATTCAGGATAACTATATGTTATATTAAAATAACTTTATTTTTTAAATATTTGTGTAAATGGATTTATTTTAAAATTAAATTAAAATTAAACCATTAATTAACAATAACACAAATATTAGAGATCTGCAAACGTGCCCTCCCCCCGAACCCGGCCAGATTATTTAAAGAAAATTTGGGCCGGGTCAGGCTTTAAAAATCTTTTTAAATATATTTAAATTTATCAATTTTATGTTGAATTTTTTATGTAAAATAAAAATTTGTGATTTTATTTATAAAAAGTAGACGCCAAATAAAATATATCGTTTATTTTGAGTAATTATAAAAATTAATTTCTATATTTAAATAAAGGCCAAGCCGGGCTTGAAAAATTAGGCCCGATGCAGATGACTAACAAATATAGAATATCCGAAATACACGGGCAATGTTGAAGTATTTTTGAGTAAGTTTGAGGCCATATTTAAAGATACATATATTACAGATATCGAAAAAGCAGGATGATTTGCTCGGAAATTACTTGACGACTAATATATAAAACTGAAAGCCATATGCACACCGACTAAATTTATCAATCCGACGATTCTAATTGAGAAATTTAGACTTCTAAAACCGGACAGATCAATTATATCAAGTTTATTTGAATTTAACGTGGCTGTCCAAAGAATATTAAGTAAATTCGCTGAAAATATTACGAAAGATGAAGTTTTTGGGAATGAAATAGAGGAGGCAGAAATATATTTATCATATAAAATACAATATGATATGATATTAATAATTTCTCTCATATTTTTTGCGTCAATGGTGAACCATTCCCTATTAACATCCTTGTATCTTTCCCCTTGAATTTGAAGTGACACAGCCAGCATCTCCTAGATGCTATCAAAATAGAAGTATACTTTTTGACTTGTCTTGTAAATATCTTGTATCACACTGCCAAAATTTGATTCACATGTATCTTTTTATCGATGATTTATTTATTACTAGCGATAATGATGAAACTCACTTAAATAACATAAAAAAAAGTTTTCGATAGAATTACAAACTATGGTTTAATACCTAATTTCGCCAAAAGTATATTTTTCAAAATAGAAATTCGTTTTTTGGGATATGATATTGATGCAAATGGCATGCATCCTAATGGAGAAAAATAAAAGCTATTACGAATATGCCAGAACCTAAAACAAAAGAGGAATTATCAACGTTCTTGGGTATGGCTAATTATTATCGAAAATTCTTATACAATTTTGCGGATATAGCAGACTCTTTATATAAAATAGTTAGCAAACATAAATGGTCATGGATGATTTGGAAAAGTTAATAAGTTCACCACCTAGGTTAAATTTTTATGATCCAGATTGGTATAGCAACGCTTCGAAAAAAGGTTTAGGTGCTGTTCTTTTCACATTGAAGGCTATGGCAAAGAAGAAAAACCAATTGCTTTTGTTCAAGAGCTTTAATAAAATCAGAAATAGATTACACAGATATCGAACAAATTCGTGAATTTAATAGACGTAGACTACGATGATGCTTTACATAAAATATAATTAATAGAGCAGTGTAAATTAAAAGTGAACAAGAAACAGATTATAAGAAGTTATGTAAAACTATATCTTAGACAAGATGCTACACCAAAAAAACAATTAGAAGGTTTAATTATCATCGATAAAACAGACGGGCAGAAAAGTAAAAAGATGGAAGATAGACAACTGGTTAGATATGAGGATAACAAATTTGATTATGATAATAGACAATGATGGGCACCAAGACGCAATGATAACCAGAGAAATTATTTTCAGGAAAACAATTACAATGCCCGATACCAAACCTCAATCCAAAATATTATAAAAACGATAGAATTAATATGGACCAAGATCGTACAATAATTTTTCAAGATTTAATAACGACAATATAGACCTAATTTTAAGTAGGGCTGTGCCGATCCACATATTTTTCACCGGTCGGATCCGATCCGATATTGGTTAAAAACCGATCCGATACCGATACAGATCCGATATTTATACTGATTTTTCACTACTCCCTTTCGAACCAAATGTAATTAAGAAATCAATATTTTTTATACAAAATCGAATTATGCAATTAATTTAATTTTTTTATTTCTAAAATAATTTTAAAAAGCGGATATTGGTAGTATTAAATGGATTTTTTATTATTCCTCCCCGTGAAATTAGAATTCCGCAGATAACGCATTTTGCAAAATTATCTTTGTCTTTTGTAAAATATTTCCGTAATTCAGATAACATATTTAAAAAAATTCTTTTATTTAAATAAATAATAAAATTTGCATTATTTAAAAAGATTTAAAATAAATAATTGGGTGTTCCTTTCTATTTTTATAAAAAAACTTTTAAAATACTATAAATCTATTTTAAAAAATAAGTAAAATTTAAGAGGTGTTGTGCATTTGCATTGTTTAAAAAAAATTATTTAGAAAATATTATTAATGTAAAATAAATATACAAAAAAAAAATAACAAGAAAAGAAAAGTAAAAAAATCGAATCGGATCGGTTTTTTACATGTATCGGCCCGATCCGATATTTTGGAAAACTCGAGATATCGGTGCCGATCCGATCCGATATTTAATATCGGCACAGCCCTAATTTTAAGACAATATAATGATTCAAAATTCATTCCAAGATTTAACAATGATAGAAGATACAATCAAAATTCTGCAAATCAAGATAGATCGTATACAAATCAATCATATAATAATAGATATCAAAACAATTGATAATAACAAACCTCGATATTCAAATAAAATCAACACCGTAAATATAGGAGAAATAAAAGAGGATAATAATAATAAAGTGAGAATAAATATTTAAAAAAATATGATTGGAAAATGATGAACGGCAAAGAACAAGCTCAATAACAAGACCACAAATATCGATCATTGTGGAGCAAGGTGAAGGGAATTTAATATTAGAATATTATATTTTTTAAATAATTGTTTAAATAAATTTATTTTATAATTTTATTTTAGCCTAAAATATATCATATATTTTACTTTTAATTTCTTATTCAAAATTATTTTATCATCTAAAAATATATTTTATTTTTATAAATTCTTATTTTGATATTCAAATATTTTATTTAGCTGGATATTTTGTCATGTAAAAAAAATAAAAAACTTCGAATTTTTATTATTCAAAATAAATTTCATATTATATATATATGTATAGATTGAGATAAAAAGATTATATCATTTTTATTATTTTCAATTTTAATAAAAGGAATTCAACATAAATAATACTATACAAATGCATATTTAATATAAGAGGTATTGATTTGGATCCGTTAGTTAGAATATAATTTTTTAATCAAAAATATCCAAATGTGTATTGAGACACAATATTAAATCGGTAAAACTTTTGTCCTTAGCCCGTATGTGTTTTGGCGGCAAAATATTTTTTAAATCTAGGACTATAGTGTAAGGAATATAAGGAAAAAAACATATATTTATTTTATTCTATATTTTAAAGTTATGCATTAAATTACATTTATTGATTAAAATGCCTTGGTTTTTAATCCGGAATTGGCACAAAATAAGTTATTAAACAAAAAATAATATAAGGAATCAGTATCGGTAAATGATATAATTTCCTGATCCGATACTGAATAAAATATTATATTTGATTGGCCGATTCTAACACTTCTTTATAATAATTTTGCTTTATAACCAGTTCTAATGTTCTATCGATATTCCAAAATGTTTATGCCCAATCTAGTACCATTTCTGAGATATGCACATTTATAACCAGGTCATAATATCGGCATAGCCCTGGATAAGTTTATGTGTCTATTATTTTATTATCACAAAATATATTAAAATGAATAGTAAATATTTTCCACTCGATTTTTTAAAACTTTCTTATTTTTAAACTCATTTTATAATTGTGATATTTAAATCGGGGGAAAAAAAGATGAATATGCAGAAAATATAATATTTTTCAGGCCAAAGACCAGGCCTATATTTTTATTTATCATAATACAACAATTTCGTGGTTATACATTATCTTATTAACAATTAGTTTTGGCCAAGCAAAATAATTTGAATATTCAAAAATTAAAAAAGTTTTTTCTTTGTTTTTGACGAACCCAATTTAATAGGATATGTAAAAAGGTGACCATCATTGGGAGTTTTACGACATTTTATCATTTTTTAAATGCCTATACACAGATAACAGATCTACAAAAAAATTATATTATAAAGAGAAATAATTTGACTAACTTCATTTATTAAATAATTAAACCACATCTTTGAAGATTAAAAGTTTTAATTTTTTTTTAGAATATTCTTTCCGTTCTAAAACTATTTTTTTTGAAAACGCAATTTTTATAAAAATGAAAAAAAATAGTCTCACTTAATTATTTAAAAAACTATTTAATTTACATCAAATTAAATACCATTAGAAAACCGATTTAAACTGGTTAATTTACAACGCTTTGGTGGTTGACTCCTTTAACAATTTTGGTATATTTGTACCGTTCAGGAAATTCGATCACCGATTTCCCTAAACAGGCTTATTTAAAAAGCGTAACTTTGAAGATAAATTAATTATAAGTTACTACGATATATAATTTTTTTAAATGGTTCCTAAAAAATTATGCAAGATTTTGATTTACTCTGCCAGTCGCGGATGTTCTACCGTGTATACCGCCCATGGATATCGGTTTGCCTGTAACGCAGGCATGAGCGTTTATATCTAAATGTCCTGAAAAGTAAAATATAGAAAAACATAAAAAGATTATCCATAAATACCTTACAACTGCTGATTATGTTTTTTTTTCTTGGACAAATTATAAAGAAACTATAAATGTTTTATGTGGAGATAAAATATTTACTAAGCATATCAAAGCATGATTTTCGGAGTTACCTAGACCAATGAGACCTTAGATTAGTCAAGAATTTTATAAATATATATTTATATTAAATACTAAATCTACTGACCTTAATTTGTCATTTTAGGCTTATAAAATTATTTTAATTAGCTCGAACCTACAGTCATGGCATAAGTATCGGCGATCCATGCCATCTCTCTGGCACCAGTTCCCATATCAGGCGCTGGAACATCAACACCAGGACCTTATTTATTTTTTTATTTAAATATAAATAATTTATATATCCACATGTGTAAAAAGTGATGAATATCAAATTACATAAAGGCTTTTACAAAGGTTAAACAAAATATTATATTTTGTTTGAAACTTTGCATGTAATATCAGATATTATGCGCAAAGTATCCAATTAATTTATATTCACATGAAATTCAAAATGTGCCAAATAACGTTAATTTTTATTTTTTTTATTGGTTAACATACCGGCCGGAAAAATAAATGAGCCGGGCTGGGCAAAAAATTTTTTGTATATATATTTGATTAATTCTGATATTTCATAGAAATGATAATCCATAAAATATATTGTTTTTAATCCCCAAAGATTATAAATAGTTGTTTATTTTGGGGTTCAACAACATATATTTTGGCTGGCCTTGTATTTAAAAAAGTTTAGAAACTGGGCTAGGCAACCTTAGTGAAAAATTGAAACTTAGCTAAGCTCGGCAAATTTTTCTGGGCTGGGCCAGGCACTAAATTCCCACTGGGTTGGGCCTGAGAATTTTGCCATTTGCAGATCACTGATAAGTAGTCTCTGTTGACTTTTGAGTTGTAGGTTGTGCTTCTAAAATTGTAGTGTTTTAATAAGTTTGTGATATGTTTGGTCTGGTAAATCGATTAAAGTGTTTATTTGAGTGTAGGTGGTTCTTTCTGAAAATTTCAATTTTCACGAGTTAACTGTAGAAACTGATACATTTTATATAATGCATAAAAATTTAAAACGTTAGTGTCGAGAATACTAGATACTTTCATTTATAAATACTGTTAAATTGGAGTCTTATGTTTGTGCGTTTGGATCCAGGAACAAGTGATGAAAATCAAAATAATAAGATCCTCTACAAAAATCCTTAAAAATATTTAATTTTTTTAAAATCGGCAATATAATTTTTAAAGTTATTGTAATAGAATCAATTAACCTTGAAAATAAAGGCAATAGGTAATAGGAATTATTATTCAAATCAAATATATTTGTTAATTGTGTATTATGATTAATTGATGTATTTATATTGATTTGTAAAAGATATATAAACAGACTATATTAATTACAAAGATATAATAAAATTTTATTTTCACGATAGCTCAATGGCGCAGTAACGGAAATATATATCTAGTAATAATAGATAGTTTTAGTAAATGGCCTGAAATACAAAACTTTCGAAAAATATTTTTACTTAAGTAAGAAAAATATTGTTAAACTTTTTGCTATTTTCGGTTACCCCAATATGATTATTACGGATAATGAGCCCCCATTTCAAAGTAAAAAATTCAGTATATTTAAAACAATTAGAAATGTATATAGTGCCCCTTACCACCCAAGAACAAACGGAGAATTGGAGCGGTTAGTGTAAACTTTTAAGAGTTTTTTTTAAAACATAATGATTATAATAAAATACAAGATTTTCTTTTCAATTATCAAAATACTCCATAAACGCAAAAAAATTACCAAGTTCAAATATGCTTAAATTTTGACCAATAAGACCCTTACAATTAATAAAAGCACATAATCCTCGCCCATACATTCCCCAGTTACCAGGTTTTTTAAGTATAAATGAGAAAATATATAAAAAAGATTTTAAAAATGATATTTGGATACCAACCAGGTATCATTGTTAAAAGAACAGAACCAATGACGTTTTTAGCTAAGACTAAATTAGGTTTATAGAAGACATTAATCATTTAAAACATAGGTTCGACGATTTTAATTCTAAAATTGAGAGCAAGGAGAGAAGGAAAAACTATGCAAACTATACCACGAATGGATGAATTGATCCTATACAAAACTCGATAGCCAAAGACATTGATCCTATAAAAAACTTGATAGTTAAAGAAATAGATCCTATACAAAACTTGATAGCCAAAGACATTGATTCTATACAAGACTAAGATATAAATCGATAGTACGAATCAACCCGCAGTAGGGAACGAAAGTACAAGTAGCCGTTATCCAAAACGGATAAGAAAGCAATTTATACCGTTTCAAATCGAGAGGCCAGAAATTGGAGAATAGATGTAATAGAATCAATTAACCTTGAAAATATAGGCAATTGGTAATAGGACTAATTGTTATTCAAATATATTTGTTAATTGTGTATTGTAATTATATTGATTTGTAAAAGTTATATAAACTGACGAAATAAATTACAAAGATATAAAATTATTCATTGTTTAGGATAGTTCAGTTATCTCTTAACAGATCGAATGTCATATTTTAAAGAATAAAATGATCGTTTATATATTTTAAATAAATTTATATATAAAAGTAGAAATTCTTTTTTATGGAGTTTTAAAAAGAAATTTAAAATATTACCGCAAATCATTTTAGGAAGCAAAAATAGGGGTAAGGGATTTTGGGATTGGAAAATGCCTTCCAGCTAATGTTGATGAATCGTTCCATTTGGACCGATTTTGAGCAACAATATGACGACTTAGGCGAGTTTTTAGCAGAAAACAATTCTCTCGAAATTGAAATTTATACCAGGAAAAAAAAACAGAATTTGCCGATTAGCGAATAAGCCGATTTTGCAACACTTTATTTTTGCCATAAATACTCCTCTGAGGGTCACATAATTTTTCAATTTATGGCGATTGTTGTATTTTTATCATAAAAAATTTATTATGCCCTCTTCAAAATTCAGTTATGGACATTTTATTACAAATCTATATTTAAAGAAGGGCTTACTTTAGTATCCATCTTTAAAATCGAATGACATTTTACATAGTTGCGAAGATTGTTGTGAGGAATAGCGCCATTAATTTAATTTAAACTTTATTAGTTTCGAAGATATTTGAGCAAAAAATGTATAAATGGCATCTTTCCTACTTTTGCAAAATGCATGAAGATAAAGATTACTCGAAAAATTTAAACGATAGATCTGATTTAGTATCATTACATAGATGAATCTTTATATTTTAAAAAAAATTCAATCTCCAATATATTTTTCATTTTTGGAAAAGGTTAAATATAGATGACGCGTTTACATTTTTTGAAATTACTGTAAATTTATATAAGAAAAAATTAAGGTTGGGGCAAAAATTGGTTTTCGTCTTTTTTAATTTTTTATCCATAAAAATGATCAATATATTGGGGTCATACAAATAATTTATCACTTTTATTCGAATATAATATTATTTACTTAATTTTTCATCAATAAATTCGATTTTTAAAATTTTCAGAAAAATTATTATTGGTTATCTTTTAAATTTGATTTTAAAATATTTATGTTGTTATAAAAAAACAGTATTTTATAAGTCCTGGCCTGGAAATTTTCGTAAAGGGTTTATAATTTATGCAAAATCAAATATAATTTATATCAATTTAAAGAGCCAAGACATTCGCCACCCTCCATTAAATATCATTTAGGATGCGCGAGATTGATCTCTCTAAATATAACAATTTATATATATTCGTTAATTGAGATTGAAACACAATTGTGGCAAATAACATTAACTTTATATTTTGTTCATTAAAATATATGGTTTGCATTAAATAAGTATTATAATCAAATCATTATTTATAATAAATGATTTGTATAACATCATCTATATTTTGACAATTTTTAGCGATAAAAAATTTAAAAAATCTCATTAATCTAATGAGCATATTTACAAAATAGAAATTCTAAACACATCGCGGGTATTAAAAATACGTATTTTCATTTTTTCCAGAAATGAAAAAACACTAAGGATTAAAAATAATGTGCTTCAGGGACTATCTTATGATACCAAATAAAATAAAGGTCTCTATCATTTAAATTTTTAGAATATTATTTTTATGCATTTTACAAAGATTATCTCCGGAACTAATAATTAAAAAAATTGCAGTTCCGGACAGCCGCTGTCAATTTTAAGTGGAACCCTTATCCATCTTTATTAATTAATTATAAACATACATCTTTTCACACCTTATTTGGACAATTTTTTTTTAATATATCATTTAATCTGTCAACGAACAGGAAACCAATTTTAAAATATTTTGCATGTATTATAAAAATAATTTAATTATAGATATAGTAAGAGGATTTAGGCAATTTTTAATGAGAATTAAAAAGATCAATTATTACATATTTTATAATATATATATTATATACGACATCGTTAATTATATGGCCACCATCTTTCTAAGAAATATGTTTTTTTAACACGTGAAAATTTTGTGATATTATTTATTATAGAAGGGAATTAATTACGTTAAGCTGGATATTAATATTATAAACAATCCCCTTTCACTGGAAGAATTTTAAAGATTAAACTATAACACTATATTATATGTAAATTATATTTATTTTATATAATCTTGATCATTGAAACTGAGAAAATAGTAATAATAAAGTAAGCTATAATATATTTTATACATTACTATAAACGTAAACTCCATCTAATAATTTATATAATCTTATTAAATGAAAGAATACTATAAACTTTTTGTTCACTATGAATAAGATCTAGCTTATAGTAATTATGTTGATGGTTAAGTTATGTGATGCTCATAATATACTGGCTTGGACGCGAGTAAAGATGCGGAGTTAATTTTACCTCAATACACATTAATTCATAGGTGTATTTATAAATTCACATTTTTTAAATAACGCTTATTAATTTAATATTCTGTTTATTAGGGTTAGCAAAATTTATGATTTTTTTTATTTAAATCGCAATGTAAACTATATACTAATATTTCAATAAGTTACAGATTTAGATTAAAAAATATCATACATCATAAATTTTTTTACCTTAGTATAATATTTCTTTGTAAGTAAAAAGTTAATGCTTCAGGAGATGCAGTCAGAAATTATTAAAAAATATATATTGATAAGTCATGAGAGCTTGATATTTTAAATAAAAAACCGACTTTCAATAAAAAATTAGATATGTGCTTAAAAAATTTAACTAGTCGATAAGTCGTAATAATAAAATTTGGTTTCCGATGAAACAATTTAAAATATGAATGACGATTATCAAGACTATTTAATTCATGGTAGAACAATCAACAGCTTCAGTAGAGTATTTTCATCATATGGAATGTATTTCAAGCTTAGGAATGCTTAGGAAAACTATTTTTTAAAATAATTAAATTAAAATACCAATGTCGAATACATGAAAAGTTACAATGTACTGTCAATTTAGGCATAAAAAATTGATCTTTTAATTTTAATATCTAGATTTTAGAAGACATCATAATTCTCTTATAAATTTTTTTTTAAAATAGATTATCATTTTTTTAAAATTGTATAGCATTATTCTAATATTTCACCAAACCAGAACTCTTTTTTTAGAAGAATAGTTTACAGCCCTGAATTTAATAAACTACTATTTTTAAAATATTAAATAACTTTTCACTACATTGAGATTATAAATATACAATTCAATTAATTATGAATAAATCAAGCATTTTTTTATCAAATAAGTAATGATTACTAGTATAATAATTTAGTATTTTCCTAAAAATTATTTAATCTGGAAATAATGAAATATTGATTTAAATCACTGATATTTAAAAAAAAAATTGGGCCAACTTAAATCATGATTTAAATCAAATTAATTGTTATTGGCCAACCTTAATGTATATTGTAATAGTGGTAAGATGCAATGTCATGTTATTTTTGCAGTTACTATAAATGCGGCGATTAAGGATATTATCAAACATTCCAAGAAAATGTGAGCAGCCTGTAAAATTTTTGCCCAACTTGGAACGTAATATAATTTTGCATAAGTTGTCTAGCCATAAATTTTTTATGAAAAAAAAGACATAAATTTGCCTAATTCTAAGCATAATCTTTTTTTGAACTTCAGGTCTAGCCTGTAAAAATAATTTTGCAAAAGTTGTCCTGCCTAGTCACAAAATCTTTCTCTTTAAAATGGGCTATGCTGGCCTCAAATATAAAACATATCACAAATGAAACATCTTGAACTAATAAATCTATTACTGGTCAGAATTACAGGTATGCAATATGTGAGGATTTAACCAAACCACCCACCTATATATTGTTAAAAAAAATAAACCCCCCCCCTTCCAATGTTTAAATATAATTTTATTGGTTGGTTTGCCTCTATTTATTTTAATTAAACTTATAAAATATGCAATATTATAAAATAAAAATAATAAATTTTAAAAAATATAAGTCCATTCCTTCTGCTCATTTTGTCTGAAAAATATTTTAAATTTACCTGCCCACCAGCCTGTCCATTATTTTAAATATATTTGTAACCTTTTCACTCCCAATATTTAAAAACTTAGCCCTCCATCCATGCTCACCCTTAGTGTAGGTGGGTGTGAGCAGGCAGGCTAAACTTCCAATTGCAAACCTCTAGTATGATTAAAATCTTTGGTCTATTTGTATTCACCGTTCCATGTTTGATCCATCAAGGAATATTAAATATCTTTCATATTTTTCCATTGACCCCCTCCCCCTTCTCCCAATTTACATTTGTAATCTCTTTTACTTCTTTAGATATTTACCTATAAATCCCTTTTTAGCAAGTTCAATGGCAAATCTGCGAGTTATCTTCTCAATTTCCCATTCACTGTAATTCTTTGGGTCTATCTTGACACCCGCCTTAGCACCACCAAAAGGTGCATGTACAACTGCACATTTGTAAGTCATAAGTGCTGCTAATGCTCTAACTTCATCGGCATTCACATCAGGACTATAGCGGATACCTTTAATTAAAATAAATATGTATTGTAATAAGGTTTAGAGTATTACAAGTGAAAAAAAAATTTATTTTTGATAAGAACCTAAAAGATAACATATCTAAATTTTAAAATAAATTTGTCCTCAAGTAAACATTTCTGGTTCTGTGAAGGATTTAAATTAGATTAAAAAGTAAATTAATGAAGGTATTTCCACATGATATAAATTATGAAAATTTAATTATATCTATAATAAATATAATATGTAAATTATTCATTTTAATTGCATTGAAATGTGTTTCTGAGTATCCCATACCATTTAAGCACCTCTAGATAAAAAAAAAGGAGAAGTCATTAATGACTCTGGATAATATATAATTTACATAAGTGGGATATGAACAATAAATTAAATATAAGTTCTACAAGATATATAATTTTTATAGCTATGTGTAACATGTCCTTTACTATAAATATGTTTAAATCTAAATATTATATGAAAACTCGTCCTCTGTAGTGACAAATTTAGAAATTATTTGTTTCCCTTCAATTATACAATAATTATAAGTGGTTATAAGCTATATATTATGAGAATTACTGCAATAGCAAGTTCAAAAATTGAAAAATAAATTATACTATTCCTGATTAGCTGTTAAAATTATAATTAATAAAAATAAATTTATATTAAAAATTGTATATAATCTAATATTACCTCCTTTACATGGAGTTCTATGTTGACTATGCTGGGCTCTCCATCCATATATCATTTCATAATCACCATTGTCTTTTTTTATTGGAAAAGCAACTGATAAAAAGTGGTGACATGGTTGGATTATTTTTAAAATGCCTCTAACCTTTTTTACATTATCAGCTTTATTATCTCCTTTTTTGGCATATTTCTCGGCAAGTGAATCTTCTAAATATGAACATGCTTTAACAAAATAAGTTTCCACCATTTCAAAAAAACTAGGACTATCAACTTCTGCAGCTTGAGATTTTGCCCTATCTTGAGTTTTAAATATATTGGGAGGGTTTGTATGAGCAGTAGCCGAAGCATTGGTGGTATGTATATTTGAGTTTCCTTTATGACTAGATATATCTTTACAATATATATATCCGGGCTTAAATTTGTGAGCTATTGAATTCTTCGATAAATTAGCGAACATTATGATAATAAAAAATATTTGGAAATGTATAATAAACGTGTATTTTTAAATAGACACCGGATTATGGTGGTGTAATTATGATCATCTGATAAAAACGAATATCTGACAAATATTTATTCTTCAAAGGCACACCTTTTGATTATTATCCAATTAAAAAAATTTTTGGGCAATAATATAAAGTCACATGATAAAATAAATGTTATTTAGAATTTTTTAAAAAAATATAAAAATTATTAAAAAAGTTTGAGGTTATGAAGGTTTTCTGTCATCTTATTTCTAGTCCTTAATCAACTCTTAAAAATCTTATTCAAGATATACTTGCAAATTCAAACAATACTAAGCAAACATATAGCCAAAGATTTTCTTTAGTGAGGATAAAACTATTGCAGGAGGTTTATATTTTATGAAATTAATAGCAAATATAATAGTTGAGAGTATAAAACCTGATGCTTCAAAAAATTTCCAATATCAACTAGACTTTTCCTCTAAAGGAAGATAAAAAATAGCTGCACACTCTTTACATATATTAATGAAAATCCTTCACCTAGTGCCATAGTCTGCAAACTATTTTTTTAATTCCTTTACGTTATAAATCACATCGCCCTCAAATCATTGTAGATAGAGTATCGCTATGCAGGGGCGTCGCTAGCCTTTACAATCTCAGGGGGCTCAACTAAAAAAAATTTATAGGGTGCTTCGTAGTGTTGTTAAATGGTTGGTGTTTTACGACCCACAACCCGAGCCGAAGTCGTAGAAATCTGCTCAACCCTGAGCCAGGGTTGAAAAATCGACCACGACCCAACCCGACCCAATGGGCATGTTGAGCCGACCCATTTGGTCGGCTTGCTGGGTCGGCTTGATGGGTCGGCTTGCTGGGTCGGCTTGTTGGGTCTGCTCGCTGGGTCGGCTTGCTGGGTCGGCTTGTTGGGTCGGCTTGCTGGGTCGGCTTGTTGGGTCGGCTTGCTGGGTCGGCTTGCTGGGTCGGCTTGTTGGGTCGGCTTACTGGGTCGGCTTGTGCTGGGTCGGCTTGTGCTGGGTCGGCTTGCTGGGTCGGCTTGTTGGGTTGGCTTGATGGGTCGGCTTGCTGGGTCGGCTTGCATTAAAATTTGTCATAATCGTTATCTTTAAATTTTTTCGAATTTTTTATAGGTAAAAATAAATATTGTAAACATGTTAAATTAAATTTTCAGTGAATATGTACCTTAGAAAAGTGACAATTGTCATAATCGTCATCTTTAAGTTTTTTCGAATTTTTTTGAAGCAAATAGGTAAAAATAAATATTGTAAACATGTTAAATTAAATTTTCAGTGAATATGTACATTAGAAAAGTGACAATTGTCATAATCTTCATTTTTAAGTTTTTTCGATTTTTTTTGAAGCAAATAGGTAAAATATATGTTGTGAACATGTTTAATTAAATTTTCAGTGAATATGTACCTTAGAAAAGTGACAATTGTCATAATCGTCATTTTTAAGTTTTTTCGAATTTTTTTAAATCAAATAGATAAAAAAATATATTGTAAGGATGTTAAAATATTTCAAATAATTTTTTATAGCCGGGCATAGGCTGGCATGAGATAACTCGCCTGTTGCTGACCTTTAATTTAAACATCTATCAGAAAAATCTAGAGGTTTAGACAATATTTTTCTTAAAATATTGGATGTGATAAAAATCGGATCAAATCGAGCCGTTTAACAACTCTATAGCTAATATTTTTAGAATCTTAAACTGACGATTACTAGAACAATAGTTATTGTTCTTTAAATATAAGTTATATGATTTGAATCCCATATTTATCGACTCAGGCGCGTACGCGGGAATTTAGTCTGGGGGGGGGGGGAGGATAATAAAATTTTTGAAGAAATATTATTGTTTTTTAAAAATATCAAGCATAAATTTATCAGGACTAATAACTATTTCTAATACACAATTTTAAATTAATGTGAATTATAAAAAAATTATATGTAAAAAATCACTTAAATGACCCAAAATAGAAATTTGAATTTTTTGAGCCTTTACACAAAAAGTTTCTTAGGAATAATTGCATTTTGTATGTTATATATTTACAATGTAAAATCCAATCTTCGTTGGGATTGAGCTAATTTTTCAATTATCTCATTCTTGCTTGTTGTCAAATGCCTATGAATATTCAAAAGATCAAACCTTTAAATCTACTTTCAGATGTTGTACTTCTTTGTATGTTTTTCGGAGACTTGATTTTTTTTAAATATACCCGACCAGGGTCAGAAAATTTTTAAAAAAACACCCAAGACGGGCTGTATTTTTTAGAACAGCCTATATTTGAAATCGTTATTATTCGCTATAAAAATCAAAAATAAATATAATTTATTTTTAAAAAAGCGGGGCCGGGCCTGAAAATTTTATTTTAAAAAAAGCCGGACCGGGCCTGAAATTTTTTTAAATAAAACCCTACCGGGCCTTAAAAAATCTTTAAAAAAAATCCGGGTCGTGACCTGCAAATGGTACTTCTACAGGCCTCTGTTATTCTTCTTAAAAAAGAGAATGTTCTCTCATTAGTTTATTAATGGGAAGAGTTTATAAACCCTTTTAATACATTGGGAATTTAATCTAAAATATGTTTGAAATAATGCAGAGCATCCATAGCATTTTTTAGGACTATATCAACCATAGTTAATCTTATAAACATAGTTATTCAGCTAGTAAGGCATCAAGACTTAAAATATTGTATTCAACATGGTAAAAATTATTAACTTTAATTTTAAAACAAAAACACTTTTCAATATGATATATTTTAATAAATACTCTAACTTATTGTACCAACATGGTAAAAATCATTAATTTTAATTTCAAAAACCAAAACACTTTTCAATATGATATATTTATAATAAATACTTTAACTTATTGTACCAACATGGTAAAAATTAATAATTTTAATTTCAAAAACCAAATCACTTTTCAATATGACCTATTGTAACTATTTATCTCAAAACACACATTTCTTTTTTTCCTTTCTTTATAAAAATGGTCAACAATAAAATAATCATTTTATTCGTGGTATGCACAATTTATATATTTTTTTAATAAATAACAAAATTACATTTCAAATCTTCCCTTTTTATCCATACCATAAACCGTCATTTTATTTCAAAATATTTAATTTTTTTTACTTAATTTTTTTTACTTAATTTTTTTTACCTAAAATATAATATTTTTATTACTTAAAATATAATATTTTTATTACTTAAAATATAATATTTTTATTACTTAAAATATAATATTTTTATTACTTTTAAAATATAATATTTTTTCCTCGTCAACATCTACAATTGGGATGTCAGGATTATATTTAGATAATATAGCGAATTCTTTATCGCTTAATGCCCAATCACATAAAAATATAATTATAAAAAGTGCTGCTAATATAATGAAAGAAAAAAGAAAAATGTAATATTTATATCGAATATTTCACCACATTTTCAAATTATGCATCATCATTTCTTGATCCAAGAATTAAGAAAACATTTTTACCAAATTTCATAAATAACCTTGGGTTTTATGAAAAATTCAAAAAAGTATTTGATGATTATGGTACATCGAAATCAATATATGATTTCGAGGAGGAGGATAATAATGAATCCAATCTAATGTCTGTCAGTATTCTGAATGAGTTAAGAAGGTAAATATAAATACTTAATTATATAGAATACTCATAAAAACTTCTAACAAACATTTTTGAAGCTATATTGGAGTGACTAAATTTAAATATTATGCTTACATTAAACAAAAATTATGATAGTTATTTGAGTTAATATAAATATTTATTAAACATTTAAAAATAGAGACTTAAGAACTTATAAAATTAATAAAGCATATAGTTGCAAAATAGGCATTTTTAAAATATGTTTGTTACAAGGTTTTACAATGGATTTAATTATATAATATATAGTTAATTTAATTTAAATATTTTATATTAAGGAAATCATACATTATGCCAAATTTAGACGGAAAAGAAATCGAAGAATATTTAACAGATCCGGTTGCTCAAACCTCTGTTGATATTATAGATTGGTGGTCTCGAAATGCTAATCGTTTTCCAAAGCTGTCGACAATGGCCAAGGATTACTTATGCGAACAAACTACGTCCGTAGCAAGCGAACGTATTTTTTCTCGAGCCGGCGCAACCATTACTAAGAAGAGGAATAGGATGTCAGCCTCAACGTTAAAACAATGCCTATATATAAATTCATGGGATTTTAATGTTTTAAATTTGCGTGACGAATTTTTTGTATAATTTGTTATTTTTCCATTATTTGTTATTTGATTTCATATAATTTTTATTTTTTATTTATGAAAATAATAAAGATATGAAAATGTGCCTTATTTATTTTGCATTTGTAAATTTTTACTTATAAAATATAAGAGCCTACTTGCGATAAATGAATAATAAATATATCATTTTTAAAAAAATAATAGTTAATATTTCTAAAATAGATAAAAGAATTTTAATTCCTAAAGTAGTATCTCTGAAGATCTAAATGTTTTCCAAATTTTTTCTATGATATTCATTCTTAAATATGAATATTTGGATTTTGCATAAGTCATCCACACAATTACCAAAGAAAAAAAATCAATTAAAATTTATAATGATGCAATAGTGGTAGAAAGTATTTAGTGGGTTAGCAAGGCCCGCTAACACTCGCTTTAACAATCGTGATATGTAAACAAAATATTTGTAAAACTCAGAAATTATGAAAAATAATTTAAAATTTGTCAAGAATTATATCCATGATCTTAAATCAAATAATAATTAAAATCTTGTGTTTCAAATTAAATTTGATATAAAAAATTTATAGTAGTTACATATTACTTAATATTTTTATAAGATTAGAAAAAATATATGTATCTGAATGTCTTAAATTTAAAAATGAGTTCCTTGCTCAATTTTCCCTGTATTTTCCTATTATCTACCAATCCTTTAAAAAGTTTCAAATGATATACCACTCATATCTAATACCAAATATTATAAACTAAGTTCAAGTTAAAAAAAAAGAATGAAATATAATAGCAGTATCAATATTAGAGGTTTAGAAATATTTTTCTAATTATAAAAACTTTTTACTAGTCTGAAAATAAGTATAATTTATTTTATATTTCTAGATTTTTAAGGGTGGAGTCAAAAAGTAATGAAAGAAAAAATTTCTTACTGAATCCAAATATTTTATAACATCTTTCCAATATCAAAATTTTTTTAAATAGGCTTAAAACAATTTTAAATAAAATTTTCCTCATTGGAATAAAATAATATTGCAGTGACACCTTATTACTAGATCCAATGGTTTTAGAATTTAAATATCCAATACTTTTTACAAGACTTTAAACATAAATAAAATGTTTTTTTAATTTTTACATTTCAAGCGTGGTGTTAAAAAAAATGGCAATAGAAATATCTTTATAAAAATAAAATTTTTGAACTTTATAATATTAAAAACCACTAAGATTAAAAGAAAGTTTAAAAAAACTTAAAGATGACGATTATGACAATTGTCACTTTTCTAAGGTACATATTCACTGAAAATTTAATTTAACATGTTTACAATATATATTTTTACCTATTTGCTTCAAAAAAATTCGACAAAACTTAAAAATGAAGATTATGACAATTGTCACTTTTCTAAGATACACATTCACTGAAAATTTAATATAACATGTTTACAATATATATTTTTACCTATTTGTTTCAAAGAAATTCGAAAAAACTTAAAAATGACGATTATGACAATTGTCACTTTTCTAAGGTACATATTCACTGAAAATTTAATTTAACATGTTCACAACATATATTTTACCTATTTGCTTCAAAAAAATTAGAAAAAACTTAAAAATGAAGATTATGACAATTGTCACTTTTCTAAGATACACATTCACTGAAAATTTAATATAACATGTTAATATATATATTTTTACCTATTTGCTTCAAAGAAATTCGAAAAAACTTAAAAATGACGATTATGACAATTGTCACTTTTCTAAGGTACATATTCACTGAAAATTTAATTTAACATGTTTACAATATATATTTTTACCTATTTGCTTCAAAAAAATTCGACAAAACTTAAAAATGACGATTATGACAATTGTCACTTTTCTAAGGTACATATTCACTGAAAATTTAATTTAACATGTTCACAACATATATTTTTACCTAATTGCTTCAAAAAAATTAGAAAAAACTTAAAAATGAAGATTATGACAATTGTCACTTTTCTAAGGTACATATTCACTGAAAATTTAATTTAACATGTTCACAACATATATTTTACCTATTTGCTTCAAAAAAATTAGAAAAAACTTAAAAAAGAAGATTATGACAATTGTCACTTTTCTAAGATACACATTCACTGAAAATTTAATATAACATGTTAATATATATATTTTTACCTATTCGCTTCAAAGAAATTCGAAAAAACTTAAAAATGACGATTATGACAATTGTCACTTTTCTAAGGTACATATTCACTGAAAATTTAATTTAACATGTTTACAATATATATTTTTACCTATTTGCTTCAAAAAAATTCGACAAAACTTAAAAATGACGATTATGACAATTGTCACTTTTCTAAGGTACATATTCACTGAAAATTTAATTTAACATGTTCACAACATATATTTTTACCTATTTGCTTCAAAAAAATTAGAAAAAACTTAAAAATGAAGATTATGACAATTGTCACTTTTCTAAGATACACATTCACTGAAAATTTAATATAACATGTTAATATATATATTTTTACCTATTTGTTTCAAAGAAATTCGAAAAAACTTAAAAATGACGATTATGACAATTGTCACTTTTCTAAGGTACATATTCACTGAAAATTTAATATAACATGTTCACAACATATATTTTTACCTATTTGCTTCAAAAAAATTCGAAAAAACCTAAAGATGACGATTATGACAAATTTTAACGCAAGCCGACCCAGCAAGCCGACCCAACAAGCCGACTCATCGGGTCGGCCCAATGGGTCGGCTCATGTGGCCCATTGGGTCGGTCGGGTCTGATCTATGGCTAAATGGGTTGGCTCGGGTTTAAGGTCGTTTTTTTCGGCACAAACCTTCCTGGGTTTTCGGCCAAGCCGACCCGACCCAGCAATTTAACAACACTAGTGCTTCGCCCCCATACTCCTGAATTTATTTTTTTCTAAAATTTACTAACTCTAAATAATTATTCTGAATGTCATTTATTATATTTTGCATACAAAATAAACTAGCATATAAAAATAATACAAGACATTTCTAAAAATAATATTTTTTAATAGAAAATCTATTTATTACAGTATAAAATATTTTCGATTGTTGATATAAAATTATTTTGCTTCTAAAGAATAATAAATGATAAAAAAGTTTAATTAATTCATATATGCCTCAATTGATAATAGTTTTTGAAACTACATGATATAATATAATTCTTAGCAACTTACATTGACAAAAGGTCATGAAACTTATATAACTCCCTATTACCATTTTAGACAATGTTTTATAGAATGGATTAATAAGAAAAAATTTATAGATATTACCAAATCTACAATTCTTGAAGAAGAGAATATAAACGACCAATACAAATCATATAACTATATGGTGGTTAGAGCTTCCTCTTAGATGACATGATGGAAGCTAGATGAGTAATCGAGAAAATTATTGTATAATATTTAATTTCTAAAGATTGTCTTCCATTTTCAATGTTATATAAACGACTACACAGTTGACCTATTGCTTATCTAATATATGCCATCATATGCTCTCAACAGCTGTAGTAATAATCTTAAATTACATAGCCACACAAATAATAGATGCTGGTTAATTTGGAGTCCTATCCATGACACTCACGATGGTAACCCATCACAATTTATTCTGTTAGATAAATTGATAAAACAAAAACATTAAAACCATTAGAAGAAATTATGCAAATATATTGAAGCCTTGAGTTATTTACACGGCAATGATAATGAAACATTTTGTAACTACAAAATAAGAACCAGAGTGATATCATGAAAGCAATTAAAATTTTATATATTATTGTCGCACCATCTCTAGTTGGTATATTATATCTTAAAATAATAGTAGTTTGTAACAATATCAAAAATATATTTGTATTAAAGATTTAACTCAAATCTATTTTTCGAGGAAGAAATATATAGCTTTCCTAAAAACGCGTAAAAGAGAGAAGAAAAAATATCGAATTTATTACATCTATTGTGGGATGAATAATAATACGTTTAACTTTAATTATATTTTAAATAAAAAGATGGCGTTAAATATTTGTAAGCAAATTGTTACTTATATTTATTATCAAAAGCATTTATTAGTAAAATTTTAAAAATATTAACTGTAATATATTATATAACTGTCAGATACGTCTGTAAAAGGGGCATTTTACCTAATATTTTATAAAAAATTATATATAATAGAGGATTATAAATAATCATAGGAAGAGACTTGATAATTAAATTTAAAAATCAATAATATAATTGATTAGTGATTTTGAACTCGGCTAAAATATTAAATGATTATATTTATTAGGGTTATATAATAATTAATAATAAAAGTCAATTAAGCTTCAACTGTTAAAGCTAAATTAATATTTAGTGAGGGATATTGTTATATTTTTAACACAGAATTTGATTGCAAGCTGACATAGTATAATTTATATGTAATAATCTAATAATTCAAATATTATTCATTTAATAAAAATTAAAATAGTCTTTTTAAAAATATTTATTTTTAGCTCAAGGTGATATTAAGGAGCCATTAAAAAAAAATTGGGGGTATTCAAATTTTTCAGGGCTCGAGCCCCAGCACCCCCTCCCCCTTAGCGACGCCAGTGTCGCTATGTATTCTTTTATACTTGGTGGCTTAAAAAGGGTTTTTAATTATAGAGTAAATTTGTAGGCGTGGAGTAAAACACATAATAAATATCTTATCATCTTGTTATCGTCAAATTCAATTCAATGATAATTTGTTTAATTATATATCTCATCTATAACAAATTTAATCAATATATATTACTTAAATTATAAGTATCAAAGTAAACAATTATATAAAAATTGAAAAAAGAAAATAATATTTAGGTAACCAGCGTCTACATGGCAGAAAATTTGATGGAGGCAACCCCCATCCCAAATCTACCCCTACCCCCCTAAAAAAATTTCGCGGCCTTCGGCCGCGATATTTGCCTTAATCAAGAAAATCTTATATTAAGTCACTATTTATACCCTTACAAACATTCAGACCTGCTTTGGGAAAAAAAATTTACAAACTGATAACTATTGTTACTATCCGTTTTCAATTAACTTATATTTAAGTAGGTAGTGCAATCTTTTCATAATTTGATTGATAATCAATTTATTTTCATAAAAATTAATATAATAGTATTAAATGAGATAACATATTTACATTACTATAAAAAAATATCAAAAATTTAGTAAAAAAATATAAGATGAGTAATTTTAAAGAGGTATAGCTTGATTCTATAATTACTAATACCTTTATATTAAGTAAAAAAAACAAAATGAGTAATTTTAAAGAGGTATAGCTTGATTCTATAAATACTAATGCCTTTATATTAATTAAAAACATTCATATAGATATAACTATTATATAAAAAAAATTTTTATGTAAATATAACTTTTATATAAAATATTAGAATAAAGAATATAGTATATTTTGCACAAGAATTATAAAAACATTTATGTAAATATAACTATTATATAAAATATAAAATGAATAGAGTATATTTTGCACTGGAAATATAAATTTTTTTATGTAAATATAACTTTTATATAAAATATGAGAAAAAAATGAATATAGTTGCACTGGAATTATAAAAACATCTATGTAAATATAAGTTTTATATAAAATATTAAAATAAAATGAATATAATATATTTTGCACTGGAATTATAAAAACATTTATGTAAATATAACTATTATAAAATATTTAAATAAAATGAATATAGTATTATATTATGCACCGGACTAGAATGATATAAAAAACTATTAAATTAAATTTACATTATTAAAAAGGCGTATATAATTAGCTGTGAAAAAGATATAACTTATTTTATTAATAATTTAGTTAATCTTTTAGACGTAGATGCAAATCGCGTTATAATGTCGTCTATTTTAAATCTTTCAAAAACATCAATTTCGCTGGATATTAGAAGTAAATTTTCTAAAAAGGGGTCAGAAATTTTATTCCGCATTCTAGTTTTATTTATTTTGACTTTGCTCATCACTCTTTCGGCTGAACAAGAAGTAGTTGGTAGAGTCAATAAATATTTATATAATAAATATAAATTAGAATAAGAATTTAATTTATTTAAAAGACGATATGGTAGTATAAATGAATATTTTATCCATTTTTTTGTATTAATTATGTTATCGTTATTGATATCTTCCTCGGTTTCATCGTTTACAATACCTTTAATTATATATAATTTTAAATAAAATATCAATAAATTACTTTCATCAATATATAACCCATCATTCTTTTTTATTTTCAAAAGATCCTTGCAATAAATGATTGCTTGTGAATCCAAATATAAAGATCGAAAATCATTATATTCACGAGCAATATCTTGAGCATTTAATTGGTAAGTATGACAAATTTGAGATATTTGCCACCCTTCTATTCTATCATTGGCTATAATTCCAGCTGGTGTAAAAAGAGATATTTGAGATAAAAAATTTAAACAATCATAATTAAATCTTTCATTTAAATCATTAATGATTGTATCAAGCACAGGGAAAAATATTTCCCTTTTATATCTATAATGCTAAATAATAATTTTAAATCTTTTTTTATTCAACTTGTTTTTTTTTTGTTTAACATAATTATTGAATGCTGTTTGATCAAATTTGAATATTGATTTTATATTATGCAATTCCGTTGTAACATTATTCTTTTTCAAATAACTGTTAGATAAGGAATGCAATTTTAAAAAAATATTATCCCCATTAGCTACATTTTAAAATTATTTATAGAAATCGTAACTAATTTTAACCTCTTAGTCTTTGTAATTTATTTTTTGTGTGTTGTATTAATTTAGTTACCATAGCCAAATCATTACCAACTGCCTGCATTTCAATACAAGCCTCATGTGTGCATTTCAATATTTCTTTCAAAATAAATAGACTTAATATGAAATCTTCATCCTTAATTCTTGTTAATAATCCATCGGCAATAGAAGAGGTGCTTGGGTCATTAGAATCTTTTAATTCATTTAATGATGCTATAATATGTTCATAAACATCTAAAAAAATTTCTACAGCTTTATAAGATGATGACCAATTTCTAAAAAAAGATAAGTTACATTAAAAATATTATATTTACCTTGTTGTATTTTTTATTCTTTTAAGAGATTTTTTAGACTTTGTCATTTGATATTTAACAAACACTCCTTGACGTCTTACCCCATTCATGAAATTATATAACTCATCCAATATTCCCATTACCTTTTTCATTTCTATTTTGCATCCACAAACATGAGCAACTACTAAATTGAGCCTATGTGCATGGCACCAAATATATATGGCTTTTGGAGCCTCTTTCAATATTAAAGCCTGCATTCCTTTGTATACTCCTCTCATATTCCCTGCACCATCCATACTTTGCCCAACCATATAATCAAGAGGAAGACCAAGATCTTTGAACTTAGAAAAAACATGTTTCTTTATATTTTCCCCGGTGGTTTCTGATGTTGTAAAAACATGGATGATCCTTTCTACAGGATGTGGATGCGGATCATCTTCTATATATCTTACAAGTAAAGCAATGCATTCTTTTTTAGACACATCATATGTTCCATCTAATATGATGCTATAGGCACAATTCTCTTTAATTTTTTGAATAATACATTTTATTATTTTTATCTTAATGACTTCAATAATTTTTTTCACATGGCCATATGACAATAAATTTATATAAGGTCTTGAAATTTTATCTGATTTTTTTCTCCTCAATTTTTCGTTGTTATCAATGTATGCCCGTAAAGTTGGAACCGTTTTTGCCATTAATTTTATGAGGCACATAAAATTACCTTCATTCGAATTAGTGCCCCAAAAGGCTATGTTACATTTTATAAGGTATATAATGGCATCAATAATATTATGAACTATATTACGATTTTCCATTATTATATCAAGCCTATTTGATAGAAAATGATCTTGAATACGCTTATTTGCAAGCCAAGTCATGTTGGTGTATTCACAATCCTTATGAATAGAAGATGACTCATGTCTCTCTAAGTCACGCTTAAAATTTTTCCAATTATTTACTCCAAGTTGAGTCCAAAAAGTATTGGATTTAGGGCCACCAAACATAAGACAATAAAGACAAAAGACTTTGTCTAAAGTGGTGCTATAGGATAACCAATTTCTTGGTTTGAGGGAACCATCAATATTAACCTTTTTATAATAGGATATATTCATGCTCCTATTTAAAAGTAGAAATAATGGATGCGTAAAAATTAATAAAAATTAAATTTTTTAAAAACCTTTTGTGAGTAACAGGATATTGAAATATATTTGAACATGGCTGACATGGGCCTATGGAAATTATGAAATTAATCAAGATATTTGTCATTCTAAAGAATATGAAATGAAAAGGGTCATTAGGCTCCTTTTTTTTATATAATTGAATAATATTTGGGCCTTTAATGTTTGAAATATTTTGGCTTGCATTGGGATTGATAATTGGATGAAAAAAAGATATAATTGGGGAATTTTCAATAACTTTGTGTGTTTGATTATTATTAAAGAGTGTATAGTTTTATTTAAATTAAATACCTCATCATTCAAAATCAGCAGATCACTGGAACTGGGCATTGTATGAGAAGATAATATAATTTGGGAATCTTCAGTAAAAGATTTGTGCTAATTATTAAATAAAGAATAATTAAAATTTGTTTATTCATGAAAATATCTGAATATCCTCATTTATTCCCTTCAAAATTATAAAAGAAATCTTATTTAAATTAAGTACCTCATTATTCAAAATCAGCAGATCACTGGAACTGGGCATTGTATGAGAAGATAATATAATTTGGGAATCTTCAATAAAAGATTCATGCTAATTATTAAATAAAGAGTGGTTAAAATTTGTTTACTTATGAAAATCTTAATTTTAATAAAAATTTTATTCTTAATTAAGATATAGAAAAGTGGAAAATATTTCATAATTTATTCACTTCAGAATTATCAAACAAATCTTATTTAAATTAAGTACCTCATCATTCAAAATCACCAGATCACTGGAACTGGGCATTGTATGAGATAATATAATTTGGGAATCTTCAGTAAAAGATTTGTGCTACTTATTAAATAAAGAATAATTAAAATTTGTTTATTCATGAAAATATCTGAATATCCTCATTTATTCCCTTCAAAATTATAAAAGAAATCTTATTTAAATTAAGTACCTCATTATTCAAAATCAGCAGATCACTGGAACTGGGCATTGTATGAGAAGATAATATAATTTGGGAATCTTCAATAAAAGATTCATGCTAATTATTAAATAAAGAGTGGTTAAAATTTGTTTACTTATGAAAATCTTAATTTTAATAAAAATTTTATTCTTAATTAAGATATAGAAAAGTGGAAAATATTTCATAATTTATTCACTTCAGAATTATCAAACAAATCTTATTTAAATTAAGTACCTCATCATTCAAAATCACCAGATCACTGGAACTGGGCATTGTATGAGATAATATAATTTGGGAATCTTCAGTAAAAGATTTGAGCTAATTATTAAATAAAGATTAATTAAAATTTGTTCATGAAAATATCTGAATATCCTCATTTATTCCCTTCAAAATTATAAAACAAATCTTATTTAAATTAAGTACCTCATTATTCAAAATCAGCAGATCACTGGAACTGGGCATTGTATGAGATAATATAATTTGGGAATCTTCAATAAAAGATTTGTGCTAATTATTAAATAAAGAGTAGTGAAAATTTTAGGCAAATGACTTATTTTATTCTTAATTATAATATATAAATTTTTTTTTAACAAAAGTTGAAATATTTAAATATTCTTATAATTTATTTCCTTCAAAATTGATAAAGGGCATAATAAAAATGTACCTATATATTAAAAATCTTATCTTTAATAAAAATTAAAAGTATTATGCTCAAATTATAGATGAAGAATTGGTTTCTACTAATTCACAAAATTTAAGGTTATTTTTACTTATATTTATTGTCATGAATTAAAATAATATATATAAAAAATTACTTTTTGGAAGTAAGATGTTATTGATTTTTTTTGTAACTTGGTTTCAACCCCATTTGTGATATTGAATGGAATATCTTTATTTAAGGATACCCAATTATTATCCTTTTTGATAGCTATCTTTGTAAATTTGATATCAGATAACTTGACATGAGGATGTTTATGTTTATAATGGTTATTTATTTTGTCACTTCTTATTTTAGAAGTTTTACAATTAATATAGTCACATTTGACTTTATATATTGTTTTGTTACTTGGCATCTAGAATAAAAATGAAATAAATATTTAGATAATATTTTTTTACTCACTGATGGCCATCAAGAATGATGGAGAATCATAATTTTATCCTTTATTTGACGGTGGATGGCTGAATCTTAAAATTCTCCTATCTTATGAGGTGTGATTCAGAAATTAAATTTATATTTGTTTAAATGAGGGTGTAATTTTAAAATTTTCCAGTGGTTTTACAAAATATATTAAAGAAATATATATTTAGATATTTTAATATATGTGCACAATAAATTTTTATTCATTTGTATTATATTTTTAATCTAAAAAATATATTAAAATCTTTTAAAATAAATTCTTATTCATTTGTATTTGTAATTTATAATCAAAAAAATATATTCTAGACCCTTATTGTTTTTAAATTAAAATTCATAAATATACACTCTATTAACATATTTTATAAAAATAATGAAAAATTTACTGATTCAATCATCATCATATAAAGGAAATTTATTATGCACCCATCATTGAATAAAGAAGAAAATTCTGATTACCAGTCATTCATAATGGACTATCAGCTATTAACTTATATTTTTGATAATGTTTTCTTAAAAGATTCCTATTATATTATATGTAAGCTTAATGCATGGTCACAAAAAATATAATATTTTTTGTTATTTATGCCAAAACAATCATGGATCAATATTTCCTCCATTATACACTTCACAATTGATTTCTTTATTTCTTAGTGTCCAACAATTTTTAGAAATGTATGATGCTTTGAAATCATAGTTTCTTTAAATTAACAATCCTAATAAATTTTGCAAATAATTGAAAACAGGCATATTTGTGATTTGCCCATTCATTTATCTTCAAATAAAGTCTGAGAAATGATATATTTTAATCATTGAAATTAGAGACCTTCACTGGCATTGATTTCTTCATCCAGCCTAGGTCATAAGTAAAAATAATTTTCAGGCCCAGTTCATGTTTAATGGAAATCCAAACCCAAACCACATCATAGGTTTCAAAGATTATTCCCAAGCCATATCCAAAAATTTAATTTATTGTTAACAAAAATAAACAATATTTCAGTATATGGAATCACTTTGTCAATTCATTTAATTGAAATCTTTTCTTCAATAATCAAATGAGAGGAATAGATTATCTGTTCATTCTCCCAAGATTTCTATAAATATTTAGAAAAAAGGCCAAATATATTATGGAAAATTTGATGTTATATAAAATTTATCTAATAATGAAATAAAAAATTTATCAATTCTTTTAACAAATTTTTTATCACACAATGGTTTTCACCTCTCACTTATAATTTTGTATATAATTTACACTTACCTCAAAGAATCATTTATCATAAATAGAAATCAATTATGGGTCCAACCTGATTGCCTCACAAAAATGTGGTAATATTTACCCCATTGAAAATGATTATTTAAAAAATTATTAGCAAAAATAATTGCCATGGTTCAAAACCCAGATAACTTATTAAGTATACATATTAAGATTAAATAAAAATAGCTTCATTCTTTATTATATTTATTTATCTATCATCAAATTAAGGAAAATGCAATTATATGCTTAAAAAATTACCTTTTTAAAATCCAAAAATGTTTCTTTATATTGTTAATTGAGTAGGATTATCTTATCATAAAAGGGATTCTTTATTCAAAAGGTCCTTATTATAAAAAAATATATATTGATAATTTAAAATTGATACTGTGAAAATCTAAATCCCATTATGTAAATGAATTTTCTAAAAATTTAAAAAAATAAATATAGTGTATAATATTTATAAATTGACAGATATCTTTTCTTTAATTGACATTTTTCAGAAAATCAACGATAATCATATCGATTATTGGATTTAAAAATATCATAATACAAGTCAAAAATTACCCTCCAAAAATCAATACCTACCCCCAAAAACAAATGCCTACCCCCCAAAAATCAATATCTACCCCCCAAAATTAATACCTACCCCCCAAAATGCCAATATTTTTTGGAGGCATTTGTCTCCTACCCCCCCCGGCCATGTAGACACTGTAGGTAACGCCATAGAGATACAAGCATAGGCGTAGCCAGGGGGTAGGGCATGGGGAAATCCCCCCTTCCTCCCCTTCATAAATTTATCACTTTTTGTGAATATCATTTTAAGCTAATAACAAATATTCCCCTTAGTCTTTCCCCCACTCACTGACCCCAATAATATATGCATATATCTTAAACAATAATTTGAAAAAAAGAATGTAAAAGTTGATATTATTTTATAAAACTATTCATCATAATTTATACATTTTTTGGGAAAAGCATTTATATATAAAAAAGTGAACCAAAAATGCTTTTTAAGAAATGGAATATAAGCCAAAGATAAGACTTAGACAAAAGTTATTATGCATAAAATTACTAAATAATATAATACATCAATTATCATTTTTTTATAAAGTGAGTAATTTTAACTTATTTATCTTAATAAAAGTAAAATATAATTATAAAACTACTGATTAATCATAAATTAAATTAAAAATTTAAAGTACAATACAAGCAGTGGAATATATATGTAGTAGATTTACAGTATATCTAATTTTATCAATTATCATATGACAATCAAGTGATTTTTACCAATATAGAGAATTATATATTTTACAGAAAACTATAAATTACCGATAAAGCATTAGAAAATATCTTTTAAAGACATCGTGGGATGAATAATATGAAGATTAATTTTTAATATCATTTTTTGTTTAAAATAAATAGATGGCATTAAATAATTGAATGCATATTATCATGCTTTTATATTAATGTATATTCAAGTAATTTATTATATTTTATGTAAACTAATGAAAATATATTCCATATTTGTTCCAGGTATATTTTTTTTTATTAAAATTAACCTCCTGTATTGTAAAAATATTATATGGCTATATATAGACTAAGGAAACCCGGCCACAAAAGATGGAATCTGCCCCCCCCCCTTTAGGAAAATTCTGGCTACCCCTATGGGTACAAGAGTAGGGGGAGAGGTGGCACAAAATCCCCCTTTCAGAATAATAATAAAAGAAAACTAAATTGAATATGGAACTAGATCGTATATAATAATATCTGTATTTGGATGGAAAAGCAGTATAATAAGATTTAATTTAACACGTTTTATTTTTAAAAAGTTTATTATTTTTTTATAACTTCTTTTATAAATTTTCGTTGAGGATACATTTGTTATAATGATTAATATGAATGTACAAAATATACAAAAGTATAAAAAAAAACTATACAAGGTTTAATATATATTTTAAGGTAAAAGAAACTTTTAAACAAATTATTTTAAGGTAAAACATTTTTACAAAAACTAAATTATTTTACACTTTGAATAACCTTTAGTGTTTAATCAAAAAATGATAACCAAAATTTTAGTTTGGTTCATTTTAACATTTCCCTCTTTTATTACATGGCTTGTTGATTGGATAGTCACGCGTTGGTATTTAGCTGCTTGATCGTAATCATTCCAAATTTCCATTATTTGTCAATTGCTATCTCATCATTTATTCAGTAATGTCTTTGATCAGATCATCAATATTTCATCAATTTCAAAAATTTTCTTATGTATATACTAAAGTAAAAAAAAATTTATTTAATATTTATTTATAATTAAGAATCTTTCAGGTCTTAAATAGTTATTTTGATCTTGAATTTGATCTTGTACTTGATCTTGATTTTGAATCAGTTCTTTACTTCTTCCCTTCTAAAAACCTGTAGGTTTGTTGTAGAATTTTTATATTTATTATCATAATTTATTTCTTTGAAATGTGTTGTCATATTTTTATTTGGAATAATGTTCATTGATCGCTTTTTTATCTGGTCTAGATGTCTACTAATAATGTTATTTCCAGTATTTATTTTGTATGATAAGTTCCCATCTTTATGTTTCTTAAAAAGTTTTGTACCAATTTGTTGTTTAACGTTTTTTCTATTTGAAGATTGTTATCCTGATTGTCAAATCATTGGTTTCTGTGGTGATATCATACAGCGGAGTGGAATTTGATATGGTTATGTTGGATATTTGTGTTCTAGATGTTAATGTTTTGTTTAAAAAAGATAATGCTTCATAATACGGCCATACAGATATATATGGTGGTCCTGCTGAACCACTAGGTTTATCCAAAGTTTTTTTATATTCTTTATTTTGGTAATCTCTTAGATTGTTCCATCTAGCCTTTAACTCATCACCTAAAAATATAAAACAGATAAATAATCATATTGTTAGCTCAATTATTGATAGTATTTAATTTAATTAAAAAAATTAAGTTTGCTCCTAAATAATTATTCAAAGATATTGATTAACATTGTAATACCAAATTTAAAAATTAAATAGTAAGCTTAATCTTTTTATCTAAATACTTAGATGAGATATATTAATACAATAAATTTAACTCATCACCTCAAAAATATAAAACAGAGGTAATGAATGATCATATTGTTTGCTCAATTATTGATAGTATTTAATTTAATTAAAAAATTAAGTTTGCTCCTAAATAATTATTCAAAGATATTGATTAACATTGTAATACCAAATTTAAAAATTAAATAGTAAGCTTAATCTTTTTATCTAAATACTTAGATGAGATATATTAATACAATAAATTTAACTCATCACCTCAAAAATATAAAACAGGGTAATGAATGATCATATTGTTTGATCAATTCTAAATATATATATAATTATTAAAAGTGTTCAATTTAATTAATAAAATATATTCAAAAAAATTTATTTTATATTTATAAAGTTTTAATACCTGATTCACCAAATTGTAGGCCTAAATTTATCCAAAATTCTGATTTTTTGCGTGAATCCTTGTAACTTTCATCAAATTTATCATATATAAATTTAGATCCTCTTAGAGCTTCAATTAAATCTAACACATTAATTTTCATTTTTAACATGAACAAGCTAAAATATTAGATTTAAAAAATTATATTTAGTTTTTAACAAGGTAGATGAGAGTAAAAGAGAAGATAAATGGAATATTTATGATAAAATGCTATTATAATTAATTCAAAAAATTCTATTAGTTAATAATGTATATATGTATTATATGTTAGAATATTAGAATTAAAATAAAATTCTATTTAGTTATGATAAATAAGCTTAGTTATTTTTAACAAGGTATGTTACAAATAGAGAAGACAAATGGAAGAGTAAAATTTAACTCATCACCTAAAAAATATCTGTAAAAACTAACTATTTAAAAAAATCTATGTTATATTTATAAAGTTTTAATACCTGATTCACCAAATTGTATATAACTATAAAAAAATTATAAGTAACGTTATAACGCTCTATAAAGTTTATCGGATCAAAAAGTCAAAATGTTTTGACTTCAAAATTTGCCGGATCCGTTTTCAAGACGGAAGGTATCGAAACGGACGCACTTTGAACATATATATCATTTTTAATGAGATTGACTTTTGACGGAACGGATGTAAAAATCGGATCCATCTCCACTATGAAGGCAGCCTTACTACCAAGTGAATGAATGGAAATATTCTAAATACCAACCTAATTTGCTAAATACCGACCAAAATTTATTAAAATGTAATAAGACCCTTATTTTAATATATTATAACGGAATCACGTGGTCGAGTCCGGCCTTCTATATATCATCCCCCCCAAGGATGTAACCACCAAGTTAGATTAAGAAAAAAGACATGACCATTCCTCGGATTCGAACCTGGGGCCATGGGATCAGTAACAGTAAGTGAAGCTATTGCCTACTAGGCCATTTAGGCTTTCCAAAAATCACGATTTTTCAAATATTTATTATAAATATATTTGGTAGTGCCTATCCAAATGAAAAATAAACAAAATTCAAATTTGATAGGTAGTACCGGTAGTAAGCATCATTAACCCAAATCATTCACTTGATCATCAACATCTCATCAACTTGTTGATCTCGTTATTCATTATCATTGTTTGTAATTATTATTATTTTTAAATTATTATCAGCATCAATTTATCTCGAATAAAATAATTTTGAAATAATTGAAAGGTATAAGAATAAATAATTAATATCGTATAAATGTATAGAATAAGGATGATAATCGTATTTTGGAATATTGAATTATGGAGTATTTTGAATTGAATATATAATATTATAATATATAATTTGTATGAATTTCGTGTTTTACTTGTTTTAAAATATTAATTTTGCATTTTATATAATTTTTTATTTTTATATTTAAAGTTTGAATTATTTTTATCTTTAAAATTTGAATTTTACCCCCTTGTTTTTCAATTTAAAAAGTTTCTTAATATTATAATTCTTTTTCAAATTACTTTTTGCAAAGAAAAATTTCTTTAGCCTCGAATTTTTAGAAAATGATCTCCTTATAGCATCTTAAAAAAATTTTCTAAGACTAAAATGTTTAGCTTTGACATTGTCTCTTTTTATAATACCTTTATTCTTAAAATTATCATCCTTTATTATTTAAGTTTTGTTATCTTCAAAGTGTTAACATTCCTAAAAATTTTTATCACTTTTAATATTAATTATAAGAGTTTCTTTAATTTAATTATTATTTAATATTTGTATCCTTAATTTCTTCAATCACAAGTATTTCTTTAAATTTTATCATATGATTTATATCTTTTAATTTATAAGAATCTATTTCATTTTGAATATTTGGTAATAAATTACATAATTCATTTTTGATGAAGTTTTTATTAATATGAGATTTGTAATTATTATGATATTTTTTTTTATTGTTATATGTCTCTTAATAATATATTATCTGAATTTCTACTTACATGATAATTTTTATTACTAAATTTATTTTGATTTCTGTTATAATAATTGTATGGATTTTTATTATGATAATTATTTGAATTCTTATTATGATAGTAACTATTATGATAACTATTTTTATTAGTTTGATATATTAGGATAATTAAATGATTTACAATTACATAATAATTTTAATCTAAACATTGCTTCTTCATATGTTGATCTTACCTCTTGGTTCCATAGCTTCCATAGGCAAAAAGAAATTGTCTGGTAAATTTAATATTAGATTTAAAGTATTTTTACTATGGCAATATGTCAAATATTCTTCTATTTCATCAATAGATTTTCTATATTATTTTGATCCCCCTCTTTGGTTGATTCATTTAAATTTAATTATAGAATATAAGTATATATATTTTTTTAATATTTTTATACGACATATTTTTATCATTTCTTACCTGTTTTATAATTAAATAATCAATGACATATAATAATACCTAGACTGACGATTCATTCATTAAAATGCATTTTTAAGCGTCGTTAAAAGCAAATCAGCTGGACCCGCCATTTTGGTAACCTTTATAATAATTATTTTCATGTTAAAAACTAATATTAAATTGATAACTTACTTTCTTATTATCTCGATGATCAGGCAATTCTTTAATAAAGTTTGCATCAGATATAATATAAAATTAGGCTCTCGTTTAAAATTTTAATATTTATTACAGTAACCAAGATGGCGTCTCTAGCTGATTTGTATTGATGTACACTTTTAATGAATGAATTGTCAGTCTAGGTATTATTATATGTCATTGAAATAAACATAATCTTTCAGAATCCTCTTTCATCTAGTTTGACCATGTTAGTTTCCATTAGTGTATCAACTCCACTGCCCATATGATTGTATCCATAGTCACCATTTTTTTGCTACCATATCTAAGAATTTATATATATTTTTTATAGAAGAACTAAAAAAATCTGAAATTTTTTTTTATCTTTGTTAATAACCTTTTACCGCTGCCACCAAATAATTTGGATGGAAAGTAGTACCAATAAAATTTAATTTAACATGTTTTTTAGAAAAGTTTATTATTTTTTTATAACTTCTTTTATAAATTTTTGTTGAGGTTATAAGGCGTAGCTAGCCTTTACTATCTCAGGGGGCTCAACTAAATAAAATTTTCCGCTTCTGTCAGGCCTTCGGCTGAATTTTATATTAATATATTATAATTTTTTAAAATTTGCTAACTCTGAACAATTATTCTGAATTTTATATTTTGTCATTTATTATATTACTAGTAGATAGCCCGTCAAAAATGACGGGGAATGAGGATTTTCTTCTTACTTTTATGCTAGATGTTACCTGTTATTTGAAAATAATATCCAATTTTTATTCTTTTTACCTCCTGCCCTCTTCAGGCCGGGTTCAATCCATTAAAACTAAGTGTAAATACTATTGTTTGAGTAAGAATAAATTTAAAGCTTTTACTTGATAATACCAATATTATTTATTAAATATTACTAATCACTTATACCTAATATTTAATATTAAAAAAAATTCCCAGGCAAAAGTAAAAAGCCATAATAATTTTGAAAAATTATTCCAAGCCCAATGAAAGATCATAATAATTTTGGTAGTTGAGAACTGAAATAAAATTCATAATGAATTTACAAATACGATTAAAATCAGATTTTTATGGGCCTTGGTGGTTTAGGCCAATGCCTGTCCCATAATTAATAGTAAAAAATTATCAAGCGTCCAAGCTCATAATAATTTTGAAAAATGATCCCCAAGCCCAGCCCAATATAAAAATATTTTCCAAGCCCAGCCCAACCCACCTGGCCAACCCATAGTAATTTTTAAAAAATTTTCCCAAACCTGTAGATAGGTAAATCTCTAAAAACCATAGCTCACCCCGACCAAGGCCAACCCATTAAGACTAATACTATTTTTTTGAATAAAAATACATTTAAATTAGCTTTTATCTGAGGTCCATATATATTCTGTCTTAAATATTACACCTATGCCTAATATTAAAAAAATTCCCAAGTCAGGTCCTCGCACTTGAGAAAATTTCCTCAAACTCGCCAATGACCATAATAATTTTGATAGTTGAGAACTGAAATAAAATATATATAAAAAGTCACAATGCATTTAAAAATACAATCAGAATATGAAACTTGCATGAGCCTTGGTTTTTGATCAGGCCTTGCCATGTCCTCAAAAGAAATTTTCAGGCTAATTTCTAGCCCATATTTAAAATTAAAAAATTTACAGGAAACTAAGACTATAATAATTATGAAAAATGTTTTTCAAGCTATGTCCAAGTCCATAATAATGGTGAAAAATATTTCCCAAGTCCAGGAAAACCCCAAATAATTTTTTTTCTTCTTTGAATCCAGAAAAATAGATCTGATGTAAGGGGTTTATAAGAATTAAATCTGTCTAATATGTTCATATTTTTTTGCCATTTTATATGGAAAATTTTTCAATCATCAAATGAAAGGTAAATATCTGATTTACATATCATTCTACTGGTTAGCTCCTGGTATTTATATGGTATTTATTATAACTAAGACTAAATACTATGGTTTGAGTAAGAATAAACTTAAAGCTTTTACTTGATAATACCAATATGTTAAATTTACTGATCATTTATACCTAATATTTAATATTTAAAAAAATTCCCAGGTAAAGTTCAAAGCCATTATAATTTTGAAAAATTTATCCAAGCGCAATGAAAGATCATAATAATTTTGGTAGTTGAGAACTGAAATAAAACATTTAAATAATCATAATGAATTTAAAAATACAATAAAAATCAGATTTTCATGGGCCCTGGTTTTTTGATCAGGCCGAGCCCAGACCTGCAAAATAACTTGTTTTAGGCCAATGTCTGACCCATAGTTAATAATAAAAAAATTATGAAACGTCCAAGCTCATAATAATTTTCCCCAAGCCCAGCCCAATATAATTTATAAAAATATTTTCCAAGCTCAGTCCAACTTATAATAATATTTTCCAAGCCCAGTCCAACTTATAATAATTTTATAAAAAAATTTTCTCAAGCCTGGCCAACCCATAGTAATTTTCAAAAAATTTTTCCAACCCTGGAGATAGGTAAATCTCTAAAAACCATATCTATTTTTTATTCTAACTTAACCCAGCTCACCCCTACTTCAGACCAAGGCCAACCCATTTAGACTAAGAGTGAATACTATTCAGGGATCCAAACCGAAACGAATATCGTTTCGGTTCAGGTTCAGGTTCGGATAAAAATAATGGTTTAAGGTTCAGGTTCGGTTCGCAAAAAATAAAAATATCAGTTCGGTTCGAACCTCTAAAAACCGGTTTGAACACATTTGTATTCAAACCTACATTAGGATTATGTATCAGGAAATTTTTTTTTTATTTCATAATTAAAATAAAAACCATCATTTTTATTAATTGCACATTATAAAATATATTTAATTTATAAATATATCAATGATTAATTTAAATATGAACAATTACTTAAATTTT